AACTTTGCCTTGAACATGATCAACATTACATATAAAAACTCAAAGCTATTTTTGCATTAAAGACACCAGATCCCTGGTTCCTGTCACCTCTGCTGTAAAGATGTCTGTCAGTGTGTTTCTCTACAATGCACCATTTCACAACAGAACCACTCTGAATGACTTTCTTTGAATGACATTTTAAGCATTATACAGAAATATCACCCGAATTCCTCTTTAAACTTTAAACTGTGTATGTGTGGGTGTATTCCAGTGACAGAAGTGCTTAACCACAGTGTGAAGATTAATGGAATTATGCGGTGTTTCAAGATTACACTGTGGTCTTCTGTCATCTTAATGAGAAATACCAGGGCAGCAGTTATAGGGCTCAGCGTTTTTCTGTCTGTTGAGAGCATATTAACAAATTATACTCATAACAGAACAAACTGAATTTTGGCTCATTTAGAAATAGTAGTGCTTCTACATGTAACAATAATTTGCAGTGTTGCTTTCTAGTAATATCAAGAAAGTTTCTCATGAGCAACCCACCATTGTTTCAGGGTTAGTCAGTCTAAGCTGGTTCTGAATAGCTAAGTCACTAAATGTGTCGGCGGAGCTGACTAGCGAGTGGATCTACATGATTGCCAGATCAAACATCAGAGAAAAGCAGAAAAAAGGATGTTACATTCAACTGTTTGGATGCAGCTCATCAGACCCAAGCACACTTAATACTCCGAATGTATATATGGCTAATTAATTCTTTATACTTCACTGTTTTCCAGCTAAAAGCTATGAGGTGAAGTAAATTATGATGACTAGGCTAGTAACGTTGACTGAAGCATCAGACAATTAGTATTTCTCTATACAGGTAAAACATAGATTTACATACATAGTTGCATCATTGGCTGTTTTCACTCGTGATGACGTCTATTTATTCACCATATTGGAGCAGTTAGGATCTGCTTAAAAAAATGCACATGGATTTAGATTTTATAAATCGGCCATAATTTGGGCCATTCTCACAAAATCACCTTAAAACATGTCCATAAATATTGGAGTGTCAAGCATCACACAGAGGAACATTGTTTTCATTTAGTAGAATAGTTTGGATTTCAATATGTTACAGCAAAAAGTTTGTGGAGCTTTTTATGTAGTTTTTTATCACCCTAATTCTCTTTACTGCATTGTGTCCACATATGTGTTTCTCATTGCTGATATTTATCTCTTTTTCTGCTTTTTTAAATTAGAAAACATGATGTTGTATAATTTTTAATGGTTGAATCTCTCTGCTTTAATGTTTCCTTGTAAACTGTAAATATGTGAGCCAAAGCAACAGAATGTTATTTGGCACAGGTAAAAGGAAAACCTCAATAGCTGTCTGTCAATGTGTTGCAGCAATGTGACAAAGTTGCAGAACACTATAATTTGCTAAATATTTATATAATTTAATAATTAGCTTTTGCAGACAGTCTGACAGCAATATATGGACTGTGAAAATAAAAGTAAGAAAAAAAAATCACATATTTATCTTCAAACCTTACTGTGTTGCAGTAATGAGAATTTGGTCACTGAATTGGAGAACATTACAAAAATCTGTTTAAAATTAATTAAATCATCATCCAAGAAAAAGAACATATAAGGTTTGAGTAATTTTCATTTTTCCAGGTTGGGTCTGTTCGTGAGAATTGTTTATTACTCAACTGATTTTCCCCAAATTTATTTTGTTATAATCTTCACATATTTTTGCACAAATTTTGCTGATTACTTAAGTGTAAAATTTACAAGGTGCTAAATTTGTAAAACAGTACATTTAGATTTATCTGATGCTTATCGGCAGTGATGAGATCCCCCTTGAGCAAAGAGAATAGAGCATATCAAATACAAGGCAATCAACATGTTTAGAGTTTAGATTTTAAAATTTGAACATGTTCATAAACAGTAATGTTAAACTAGTTGTCATAAAAATACATACCAGATGTAAATACAAGTGTAAGTCCAGTGGTAGAGCTCAATCTGAATGTGTTGTTGTTTTTATTTCTGTTTCGTAACTGTGAATGTGCTGGCTAGCTGACCGGAGCAGCAGGAAAGTTATCTGTGCTTGGTACTGAGTTTAATGCAAACTCCAGGAGAAACACTACTGTCTCGCACATGTCAGCAAACCTATCCATGTGTGAATCATTTCTAAGCTTCACACATATGCAGTAAAAGCCCCAAAACAGAGTAAGACGATGCTGATCTATTGTGAATATTCTTCAGTGGATTAAAGTATGGCTGGACTTACATTGCAAATGTACTCAACACTAATCAGTGTAAATAAAATAGTTTAAATGTACTTCACATGAAGTAAAGATACAGTGTATAGGTTATACAATGAAAATATTACAGAACCTGAGGATAAATAATTAATTCTTTGTCTTCACCAACATGATCATATTTATACATGAACATGACACAAACATGAATATCAGTACCTGTGATAGTACAGGTTCTGCGAAACCTCATCTGATTGAAAAAAAAATGGCACACTGTCACGTTCTCCTCCTTTGTGTAATTTTCTTTATACCTTTGCCAGAGAGAAAGGATGTGGTGAGCTGTTGTGCACTATAAAGGCAATGATCAAATCAACATGCTCTGTACCAAAATTGAAAACGTGCTGTGGGTAGATTTTCAGAAGGGCTGGCAACTGAATTGCAAATATTAATATCTCAATGATCCTAGACAAATGCGACTTGATGATCATTTACCAGAGTCACCGTTCCGACAAGCGCATAGACCCACTTGTAACAGTATCTGGAGAAACTGGGTAAAAAGGTCATCACATGAAAAAAGGGAAATGATAATGAAACCCTAAGTCATAAATGAAAAGTTGCCTTATCAGAACTGTGGGCGATTCAGATCACATGGTGACTGACAACACCACAATGGGCTTTTTAGAAGATGGGTAAATTGTGGCCATGAAGGGATGCACATGGCCAGCAACAATACTTAAATAGGCTGTGGCATTCAAGCGATGATTGATTGGTGTTAACAGGCCTGAAGTGTGCCAAGAAAACATTCCTTGCACCATTACACCACCTCCACCAGCCTGGACTGTTGACACAAGGCAGGTTGGGATTTATGCTGTTGGCACCAGATTCTCACCCTGCCATCTGTGTGGCTCAGCAGAGAGTCAGCAGATCAGGCTACATTTTCCCAGCCTTCAACTGTCCAGTTTTGGTGAGGCTGTGCCCACCAGGTCAATAGCTTTCTGTTGTTGGCTGACAGAGGTGGAACCTGACGTGGTCTTCTGCTATTGTAGCGCATCCCTCTCAAGGTTTGACATGTTGTACATTTTGGGATGCTTTTCTGCTCACCACAAGTGAACAGAGTGGTTATCTGAGTTTCTTTTTCTTTTTTTGAGTTATCATAGCCTTTCTGTCAGCTCGAACTAATGTGGCCATTCTCCATTGAGCTCTTTCATCAGTAAGATGTTTTTTCTTTATTGCACCATTCTGAGTATATATATATATATATATATATATATATATATATATGTGTGTGTGTGTGTGTGTGTGTGTGTGTGTGTGTGTGTATAAATGTGTGTTTGTGTGTGTCATACATACTGTGCAAAAGTTTTACACACATTATCTAAGCCGCTTATCCTTCTGGGTGGCGGGGGGGGGGCACCGGAGCCCATCCCAGCAGTCATTGGGTGGAAGGCAGGAAACACCCCAGACAGGTCACGAGTCCATCACAAGGGAGACACACAGACTAATAGTAGAATAAATACAAATAATAGTAATGCATTGTGTGATGTGATGTCATTAGCTGTGTATTTCGTCCTGCGGGGTCGTAGAATGTTTAAGTGTGAATGTTCACATTGTGCTGTTTTCATGTCATAATAGGCAGAATGACCATGTTCTGAGATCTTGCCTGAAGAGATGAATAGTTAAAACATGGAAATTTATGGACAGAGAAGTTAATCAAGTAATTGTGAAAGACCTTGGCTCAAGGAATAACTGCTTCAAATTTGCTGTCTATTTTCAGGCCTGTTCTGTTTTATATAAAAATCTAGATAGAATTGGCAGTTAGCATTCTCCTTCAAGCAGTTTGAATTGTCCAGTGATGCGTTTGTGGCAGTTAGAAAATATGGAGTAGAGCTTCACGTCTCTGAGTAAGCACATGCTAGTCCTCCCCCCCCCCACCACACACTCCCACACAGCCTACCATCCAGCTAGCTGGCAGGAAGAACTGGCTATGACTAAGTTAGGGAGAATACAAAAAAAAAAAACTAATGTACTATTCTTCGTCCTATCTAGGAAGTGGATGCATTGTAGCAGTGAGACAAGAACTAAGAAACTAAGGTTTGCATTAGTGAGGTCATATCCTTAGAGATGGTTTCTTAGTCTTTTTGCTGTATTCGTTCTTGCCAGTATTTCTAGCAATGCAGTATCAAAAAGTCTTTTCAACAGATAATAAGCCCCCCTCTAAAATGAACATGGCATACAATACGTCAAGAAGTAGTGGCTCCTGGTTCCATCTGTTTGCAAACTGAGTGCTTCTTTCCCTTCGTTTTATGCCTAAAGAACTCAACCTGTAATTTCCCCATAAACCTTCTAACTGCCAGAGCAACAAAAAGACTTGCTTTAGCAGGATTTCAGATTGTTAGACTGAACTGGCACTGCACTTAAAACAGCCTCTTCTTCCTTTGGCAAATTTAGATGTTTGCAGATCCTTCCTCCAGTGTGTGGAAGGAAGCTTTAGCTTGTAATCCAAATAAGTTCAGAGCAATTTCACATGATTCTAAATAAAAATTCTAGTTGATTATATTGCAAGCAACCACTTAAATCAACCACTTGGATTTATTTCACAATAGCTCATAAACAAAGAACTGAGAGGTGTGTAGCTTTCACTGTTATTCACAGCCTGTCCTGTGAGTAGACATGATTATCATAATTCTACAGTGTTGAAAGATAGGCTAGACTGAGTTTGTGAGAATTCAACATTCAGTATGATGTTAACGTTTTAATATTTCATTCTTGCAGCTGGTCCATCAAAGCCGATGTCATCTACTGGTAAGTAGTTTGTTTCTGTGTACCTCTCTTTGATACTCAGTATGGAGTTTAAAGAATAGTTCAGTATTAGTAATTCAAATATCCATCAGTAGTTCAAATATGCGAATGTTGCTAACAGTAAACGAAAGCAAATACCCACCAAATACCCACCATACCAATTACATGATACACAGTCAGGAATGCACAGTAATATCTAAATCATATCCATATCAGTAGATAACTGTTTAGGTGTTTTTTTGTTTGTTTGTTTTGTTTTTTTTGGCATTGGACAGATGGTTACATTTGACTGATATGTCTCAGTATGGAACTGCCACTCAGGCAGGACATAAAGTTTGCCACTGAAATGTTCATGGATACATTTTCCACCGAGAGTAACGCAGAGAGAATCCGTGTAATTCCAAAGCATGGTTTATTCATTATTATTTTTCCCCAGACATTCTTATGTTCAAGCCAAATTCACACACAAAATAGAAACCAAAAAAAGCACTGTGCACTTAGTACTTGCAAATGTGTCCACTACTGAGGCAATTATTAATTTGACCTTTAAAAAAGCTCAGTAACACTGAGATTAATAACTGACCATCACATTTACTTATCAGTCTACTCAGCTTTAGCAGGAACTTCAGTGTTTGTAAAGAAGCCCTCTTTAGAATTCATCTAACAAGCATTAGTTCATAAACAAGCATTGATGTTTCTTTTGAATGTTTTATAGTGGGTGAAAACTCTAAAAGTATTCTCCTAAAAATGTTAAAAGTAACTTTATTCTGAATACTGCCTTTACAAAATGTAGCATATGCTTATTTTTTGTATTCCGAATATGTATTTCCAATATTCTGTTAAATCCCAACCCTGTCTATACGTGGTGACAACTTATGTATGTGGACTTTATACACTAAATATATTGTATTAGTAATTACTTGTGATTTATTGAAAGGCTAAGAATATGAAACAGCACAGCGATATCTTGTGAGGAGTGATTGTAGTCATTTTTTCATGTCAATGGATTTAAACTAAGTAATTAAGTCAAGTCAAAGTTTATTTTTAAAGCACTTTTTACAACAGGTGTTGGCACAAAGCAACTTTACAGAAAAATCCAGGTCCAAGCCCCCATGAGCATAACACTGGATAGCAAAACAAAAACACAAAAGCAATATGAACAGAGAATAAGGTTTTACCATTGGTAGAAAATCTTAAAAACAAACAAGAAAAGTTGAAAAGAAGGTGAAGCAACGGCTATGATTAAATAGTTTGAGGCTGTGCAGCAGTATCATCAGAAGGGTCAGCGGCGTGCAGGTGAGGTTTGCACAGCGTTGTACAGCAGGAAGCTCCATGGTGGTCAGACTGGTCCAGAAGGCTGGCGAGCAGTGGGCACCCGATCAAGACAGATACAGCAACAGCATCAGACTGCACAGGGTGGGCAGTTATTCAGCTCAGCAAAGAAACACACAGGCAGTTAGTTCTGTTAAAAGTGACTGATTACAGTACACAGTGTTAACAGAGTGCAGCAGAGACTCTGGCAGGTCAAGCTATTACAGAGCTATTACATCATAATAAGAGAAGCTCACTCACTGAGGAATTGAGGGGTGAGGCTGTTTAGAGCAGTGTATGTCAGTAAAAGAGTTTTGTACTCAATGTGGAATTGAACTAACAACCAGTGTAGGTTTGATAAAACTGGGCTGATATGTCAAACTTTCTAGTTCTTGTAAGGACTCTGGCTGCAGCATTCTGGATTAACTGAAGCTTGTTAACCCTCTGGGGTCTAAGTGTATTTCCTCGATTTTTGCATATCTTCTTGAATTCGTCTTTAAAGATAATTGCACAATATGAAACATGATACCCATATGTTTCATATCAAAATGCTCCATTATCTTTGTTGCTACATTCCAAAAAAGCTGCAGCAACTTCAGCAGCTGTAAACTTTTGGCACGTCATTTGACGTTTGTCTCCGATGTCGACTGAATGAAGAAAGAAGGGTTTCTGATGTGATGGGTAAGGCCTTAGTGATTTTCTGAGTGTTAATTGGTCAGTTTCACACACAATCCAGGCATACACACAAATCCACCAGTTACACACAGTGAGAGGCAGATGACGTGTATCTCAGTCCCTCTTCATAGCCTCATAACTCTGGATGTGAGTCACATACAATCTCGCGAAAAGATGGATTGAAATGGCAGAGTCTACAGCTTCAGAAAATATTTAAACCGTGTTTCTATGCTATGTAATGGCAAAGATAGAGAAACATTTATAGAAACATTGAATTTGACGCACGGGCGGGTTTGTGGACCCCAGAGGGTTAAGGCTTTTGCTTGAACATCCAGATAGCAGGACATTACAGTATTCCAGACTTGAGTAATAAATGCATGAACTAGCTTTTCTGCATCCTGTTAAGACAGTGCATTTCTTAATTTGGCAATATTGTGAAGATGGAAGTAAGCTGTTGTGGTTTCTAACAGATGTACCTGACGCAACTAAGAAACTCTTAAGTTGAAGTGTTAAATTAGACAGTTTGTTTCTAGCAGCTTTTGGATCAAGAAGTAGAACCTCTGTTTTATCTGAGTTGAGTAGGAGGAAGGTACTCGATATCCAGTCTTTTATGTCTTTTACAAAGTGCAATATCTCATTAAGCTGAAATTTATCTTCTGGTTTGGTTGATGTATACAATTGTGCATTAGTGAAACAGTGGAAATTGATGCCGTGTTTACTGATAATGGAACCCAGTGCTAGCATATATAATGTGAATAGTAGAGGTCCTAAAACAGAGTCTTGCGGGACGCCATACTTTACTTTTGTAAGAACAGATGATTTGCCGTTTATATTCACAAAATGATAGCAATCAGTCAGGTAAGATCTGAACCAGGAAAGACCTATTCCTGTTACTCTTACAAGGTTTTCTAGTCTGTGTAGTAAGATAGAGTGGTCTCACTAAGATCAAGCAAAAACCAGCAAAGATACGTTTCCTTGACAGGGAATAATAAGAGATTGTTTACAATGGTTCACTAGTGCTGTTTCTGTACTATGATGAGGTCTAAATCCAGACTGAATTTTTTCATGTATGCGATTCCTATGCAAATAGAAATTACAGACACAGCTTTTTCCAAAATTATTAAATAGGTAGCCTGTTTATTAAAGGAGAATTCCACAGATTTTTAGAAAAGAATCAATAGCCTTGAGTCAATATATTTATCCAGAATGCACGATTCTATACCTAACCACTCAATGACTTTGTTTAAATGACATCTCAACCACTGAATTATGCAGATATTTTGAAAAATTGTTTGAACTTTGTGTGTGTGTGTGTGTGTGTGTGCATGCATGTGCACATACCAGTGTCTAAAGTGCTTTGCTTTTACTATTCTCAGTTATGTGTGAGGCTCCTGAGCCGAAGAATAACGCAAAGACACCGGACAAGTTGGAGCCCCGGTTCCGTATGCAGTGTATAGACGGCTATGTAAGGCAGGCTGGGACATCCAATCTCTACAGATGTGAAAAAAAAGACAACTTGTATTTATGGGTGAACGAGCCATCTCTGAACTGTATACGTAAGGAAATTCTACAATAGATTACTTCCGAATGTTGTTATTTTATAGCAAAATCTTAAATGCCCTCACATGCTGTCTTGTTCAGTATCTTATTTCAGTATTTCTTTCTTGCAGCTGATCCGTCAAAGCCGGGATCAACTGCTGGTAAGTAGAATCTTCCTTCATAAACTTTGTTCCTGTCTACCTCTCTTTGATACTCAGTATGGAATTATATATAGAGAATAGTTCAGTATCAATAGTTCAAATATGCATCCATAGTTCAAATATGCTAATCTTTCTAGCAATAAATGCAAGCAAATACCCACTAAATAGCATGATACACAATCAAGGATGCACAGTGATCAGAATCATATCCATACCAGCGGATAACTGTTTAGGTGTCTTTTGGCATTGGACACATAATTATATTTCACTGATATGTCAAACCGACTCAGTAAGATCTTTTCCCCACTCAGACAGGACATAAAGTTTCTGACTAAAGTGTTCGTGAATCCATTTTCCAACAAGAGCAGCACAGAAAGAATCCATGTAATTCAAAAATAAAACACAAAATAAAAAAAAAAATTACATTGTGAACAATGGTTATTGCTTCATGCGAACAAAACTGTGCTCAGAAAAACTGCATAAGCGCCACTTATGAGTTTGAGCACAGGACAAACTAATGCAGCACAGATTATCTATATTTCAATTCAGGAAACTTAATCAGCACTTAGAAATACTATTGTTGTTCTTTTAATGGACAAAATTATGTAACAAGTCCATCAAGCATAACGTGTTTACGCCATCACCTAAATAGACAGACTGTTTTTTTTGGCAATATTCACAGAACAGTCATGTTATTAACTGTTACAAAACTGATGAAGGTCTAACCTTCAGCATGACAACCAATTCAGCCTGAAATATTGAGCCCCATCACATTCCTCAAAAGTTCAATGTGGTGAGGTTATAATTCTCATTGTTATTTTGCACTAAAATGTAAAAGTGGTGACTCAGGTGTTTTTTTTATTAGAGTATTATGTATTGAAACTATGGAAGACAAAAACCTGTAATTTATTGACATGAAAAAAATTAGCATTTGGCAGTGATGTCACAGTATGATTCTTCTATGATTTCTCAATGTGTATATATTGGCATCGACGTCGACCAATATGTAAAGGTAGTTGTAGAACTACAAAGTGCACCTATGTGGTAAGTAAAGCGAAAAAAATCGACAAAATGTTTGGTTGGCAGTTTGCTTCATGTAATTATTCTGTTAATATGTTTCCTAAAAAAATTCCTTATCATTAAAAACATGTATTTTTTTTTCTCTCTCACCGCCTGCTTCAGTCCACTGTTGCTCCCACAATCCCCTGAGCAGGAGTCAAGTACAACACCGATACTAAATTTATCACTTGCAAGCATGTGCACTACTGAGGAGATTATTAATTTGATCATTCCTTTAAAAGAGCTCAGTAACACTGAGATTAATAACTTATCACACTGCTTCATCAGTCTACTCGGCTTTAGCAGGAACTTCAGTGTTTGTAAAGAAGCTGATACCTGAGATCCACTTTAGAATTCATCTAACAAGCACTAGTTCATAAACAAACATTGATGATGTTTCTTTTGAATGTTTTTTAGTGGGTGGATACTCTAAAAGTATTCTCCTAAAAATGTAAAGGAAGTGTATTCTGACAGTGTTCTGAATACTGTCTTTACAAAATGTAACTTGGACTGAATAGATACTTATTTTTTGTATTCTGAATATTTATTCCCCTATACTTATATTCTGTTACATCCCAGCCCTGTCTGTACGTGGCGACAACTTTATTATGTACACCTAGCTTGATTCTAGTGGTTTAATGTGAAATGATCCATTCTAGAGAAACATTGTTCACAGTGGTGGTGATTGGCACAAGACATCCAAAGTGTTTAATGCCTCTAAAAGCTACATCACAGAAAGTAATTACTCTAAATAGTTACAGATGCACTTCTTGATGCCTGAGACATTGTTTCATTGTATTTTAAAGATAAGCTTTTGGCCTAAACGTATTTGGAGCAGAGTGGTACATGCAGTCAACAGAATACTCAAAAATGTACACTTTTTATTTGGGATTTAGTAATATTTCAACATTATCAACAATATGTGTAAAAACCTAAAGCTAGAATTGCATTGTAGACATTGCAACCCCTGGTTTCTGTATCAACCACAGTAAAGAAATCTTGATGAAAATTCTCCAGAATGCACAACGCTACACCTAGCCACTCAAAATGACTTTGTTTAAATGACATCACAACCACTGAATTAAGCAGAAATTGTAAAGAACTGTGTGAACTGTGTGTGTGCATGCATGTGCACATACCAGTGTCTAAAGTGCTTTGCTTTTACTATTCTCAGTTATGTGTGAGGCTCCTGAGCCAAAGAACAACACAAAGACACCGGGCAAGTTAGAGTCCCAGTTCCGTATGCAGTGTATAGACGGCTATGTAAGGCAGGCTGGGACATCCAATCTCTACAGATGTGAAAAAAAAGACAACTTGTATTTATGGGTGAACGAGCCATCTCTGAACTGTATACGTAAGGAAATTCTACAATAGATTACTTCCGAATGTTGTTATTTTATAGCAAAATCTTAAATGCCCTCACATGCTGTCTTGTTCAGTATCTTATTTCAGTATTTCTTTCTTGCAGCTGATCCGTCAAAGCCGGGATCAACTGCTGGTAAGTAGAATCTTCCTTCATAAACTTTGTTCCTGTCTACCTCTCTTTGATACTCAGTATGGAATTATATATAGAGAATAGTTCAGTATCAGTAGTTCAAATATGCATCCATAGTTCAAATATGCTAATCTTTCTAGCAATAAATGAAAGCAAATACCCACTAAATAGCATGATACACAATCAAGGATGCACAGTGATCAGAATCATATCCATACCAGCGGATAACTGTTTAGGTGTCTTTTGGCATTGGACACATAATTATATTTCACTGATATGTCAAACCGACTCAGTAAGATCTTTTCCCAAGGAACGACCACTCAGACAGGACATAAAGTTTCTGACTAAAGTGTTCGTGAGTCCATTTTCCAACAAGAGCAGCACAGAAAGAATCCATGTAATTCAAAAATAAAACACAAAATAAAAAAAAAATTACATTGTGAACAATGGTTATTGCTTCATGCGAACAAAACTGTGCTCAGAAAAACTGCATAAGCGCCACTTATGAGTTTGAGCACAGGACAAACTAATGCAGCACAGATTATCTATATTTCAATTCAGGAAACTTAATCAGCACTTAGAAATACTATTGTTGTTCTTTTAATGGACAAAATTATGTAACAACACGTAAGATTTTCAGAAGTAAAGCCTAATACAGTATGGCTCTTACACCTTATGTTTTGTACTCGGGAAAAGCAGAATGTTTAGGTAGTGCTGGCTGAGTGTCCTAAAATGTCTGTCTTTTTACTATGTGTAACCTTACCAATAAACGTTATGTCTGTCTGTAATGCTAATCCAGGTGAATTTAGTCCTAATTTCTGTGTCATTCCATGAAAGGAGTGTGCAGATATTCCAGTGCTTGTATTAGAGACAGAAATCTGATAGTTCATTATTGACAGAGTCCATCAAGCATAACGTGTTTACGCCATCACCTAAATAGACAGAGTGTTTTTTTTGGCAATATTCACAGAACAGTCATGTTATCAACTGTTACAAAACTGATGAAGGTCTAACCTTCAGCATGACAACCAATTCAGCCTGAAATATTGAGCTCCATCACATTCCTCAAAAGTTCAATGTGGTGAGGTTATAATTCTCATTGTTATTTTGCACTAAAATGTAAAAGTGGTGACTCAGGTGTTTTTTTTATGGAAGACAAAAACCTGTAATTTATTGACATGAAAAAAATTAGCATTTGGCAGTGATGTCACAGTATGATTCTTCTATGATTTCTCAATGTGTATATATTGGCATCGACATCGACCAATATGTAAAGGTAGTTGTAGAACTACAAAGTGCACCTATGTGGTAAGTAAAGCGAAAAAAATCGACAAAATGTTTGGTTGGCAGTTTGCTTCATGTAATTATTCTGTTAATATGTTTCCTAAAAAAATTCCTTATCATTAAAAACATGTATTTTTTTTTCTCTCTCACCGCCTGCTTCAGTCCACTGTTGCTCCCACAATCCCCTGAGCAGGAGTCAAGTACAACACCGATACTAAATTTATCACTTGCAAGCATGTGCACTACTGAGGAGATTATTAATTTGATCATTCCTTTAAAAGAGCTCAGTAACACTGAGATTAATAACTTATCACACTGCTTCATCAGTCTACTCGGCTTTAGCAGGAACTTCAGTGTTTGTAAAGAAGCTGATACCTGAGATCCACTTTAGAATTCATCTAACAAGCACTAGTTCATAAACAAACATTGATGATGTTTCTTTTGAATGTTTTTTAGTGGGTGGATACTCTAAAAGTATTCTCCTAAAAATGTAAAGGAAGTGTATTCTGACAGTGTTCTGAATACTGTCTTTACAAAATGTAACTTGGACTGAATAGATACTTATTTTTTGTATTCTGAATATTTATTCCCCTATACTTATATTCTGTTACATCCCAGCCCTGTCTGTACGTGGCGACAACTTTATTATGTACACCTAGCTTGATTCTAGTGGTTTAATGTGAAATGATCCATTCTAGAGAAACATTGTTCACAGTGGTGGTGATTGGCACCAGACATCCAAAGTGTTTAATGCCTCTAAAAGCTACATCACAGAAAGTAATTACTCTAAATAGTTACAGATGCACTTCTTGATGCCTGAGACATTGTTTCATTGTATTTTAAAGATAAGCTTTTGGCCTAAACGTATTTGGAGCAGAGTGGTACATGCAGTCAACAGAATACTCAAAAATGTACACTTTTTATTTGGGATTTAGTAATATTTCAACATTATCAACAATATGTGTAAAAACCTAAAGCTAGAATTGCATTGTAGACATTGCAACCCCTGGTTTCTGTATCAACCACAGTAAAGAAATCTTGATGAAAATTCTCCAGAATACACAATGCTACACCTAGCCACTCAAAATGACTTTGTTTAAATGACATCACAACCACTGAATTAAGCAGAAATTGTAAAGAACTGTGTGAACTGTGTGTGTGCATGCATGTGCACATACCAGTGTCTAAAGTGCTTTGCTTTTACTATTCTCAGTTATGTGTGAGGCTCCTGAGCCAAAGAACAACACAAAGACACCGGGCAAGTTAGAGTCCCAGTTCCGTATGCAGTGTATAGACGGCTATGTAAGGCAGGCTGGGACATCCAATCTCTACAGATGTGAAAAAAAAGACAACTTGTATTTATGGGTGAACGAGCCATCTCTGAACTGTATACGTAAGGAAATTCTACAATAGATTACTTCCGAATGTTGTTATTTTATAGCAAAATCTTAAATGCCCTCACATGCTGTCTTGTTCAGTATCTTATTTCAGTATTTCTTTCTTGCAGCTGATCCGTCAAAGCCGGGATCAACTGCTGGTAAGTAGAATCTTCCTTCATAAACTTTGTTCCTGTCTACCTCTCTTTGATACTCAGTATGGAATTATATATAGAGAATAGTTCAGTATCAGTAGTTCAAATATGCATCCATAGTTCAAATATGCTAATCTTTCTAGCAATAAATGAAAGCAAATACCCACTAAATAGCATGATACACAATCAAGGATGCACAGTGATCAGAATCATATCCATACCAGCGGATAACTGTTTAGGTGTCTTTTGGCATTGGACACATAATTATATTTCACTGATATGTCAAACCGACTCAGTAAGATCTTTTCCCAAGGAACGACCACTCAGACAGGACATAAAGTTTCTGACTAAAGTGTTCGTGAATCCATTTTCCAACAAGAGCAGCACAGAAAGAATCCATGTAATTCAAAAATAAAACACAAAATAAAAAAAAAAATTACATTGTGAACAATGGTTATTGCTTCATGCGAACAAAACTGTGCTCAGAAAAACTGCATAAGCGCCACTTATGAGTTTGAGCACAGGACAAACTAATGCAGCACAGATTATCTATATTTCAATTCAGGAAACTTAATCAGCACTTAGAAATACTATTGTTGTTCTTTTAATGGACAAAATTATGTAACAACACGTAAGATTTTCAGAAGTAAAGCCTAATACAGTATGGCTCTTACACCTTATGTTTTGTACTCGGGAAAAGCAGAATGTTTAGGTAGTGCTGGCTGAGTGTCCTAAAATGTCTGTCTTTTTACTATGTGTAACCTTACCAATAAACGTTATGTCTGTCTGTAATGCTAATCCAGGTGAATTTAGTCCTAATTTCTGTGTCATTCCATGAAAGGAGTGTGCAAATATTCCAGTGCTTGTATTAGAGACAGAAATCTGATAGTTCATTATTGGCAGAGTCCATCAAGCATAACGTGTTTACGCCATCACCTAAATAGACAGAGTGTGTTTTTTTGGCAATATTCACAGAACAGTCATGTTATCAACTGTTACAAAACTGATGAAGGTCTAACCTTCAGCATGACAACCAATTCAGCCTGAAATATTGAGCCCCATCACATTCCTCAAAAGTTCAATGTGGTGAGGTTATAATTCTCATTGTTATTTTGCACTAAAATGTAAAAGTGGTGACTCAGGTGTTTTTTTTATGGAAGACAAAAACCTGTAATTTATTGACATGAAAAAAATTAGCATTTGGCAGTGATGTCACAGTATGATTCTTCTATGATTTCTCAATGTGTATATATTGGCATCGACGTCGACCAATATGTAAAGGTAGTTGTAGAACTACAAAGTGCACCTATGTGGTAAGTAAAGCGAAAAAAATCGACAAAATGTTTGGTTGGCAGTTTGCTTCATGTAATTATTCTGTTAATATGTTTCCTAAAAAAATTCCTTATCATTAAAAACATGTATTTTTTTTTCTCTCTCACCGCCTGCTTCAGTCCACTGTTGCTCCCACAATCCCCTGAGCAGGAGTCAAGTACAACACCGATACTAAATTTATCACTTGCAAGCATGTCCACTACTGAGGAGATTATTAATTTGATCATTCCTTTAAAAGAGCTCAGTAAAACTGAGATTAATAACTTATCACACTGCTTCATCAGTCTACTCGGCTTTAGCAGGAACTTCAGTGTTTGTAAAGAAGCTGATACCTGAGATCCACTTTAGAATTCATCTAACAAGCACTAGTTCATAAACAAACATTGATGATGTTTCTTTTGAATGTTTTTTAGTGGGTGGATACTCTAAAAGTATTCTCCTAAAAATGTAAAGGAAGTGTATTCTGACAGTGTTCTGAATACTGTCTTTACAAAATGTAACTTGGACTGAATAGATACTTATTTTTTGTATTCTGAATATTTATTCCCCTATACTTATATTCTGTTACATCCCAGCCCTGTCTGTACGTGGCGACAACTTTATTATGTACACCTAGCTTGATTCTAGTGGTTTAATGTGAAATGATCCATTCTAGAGAAACATTGTTCACAGTGGTGGTGATTGGCACCAGACATCCAAAGTGTTTAATGCCTCTAAAAGCTACATCACAGAAAGTAATTACTCTAAATAGTTACAGATGCACTTCTTGATGCCTGAGACATTGTTTCATTGTATTTTAAAGATAAGCTTTTGGCCTAAACGTATTTGGAGCAGAGTGGTACATGCAGTCAACAGAATACTCAAAAATGTACACTTTTTATTTGGGATTTAGTAATATTTCAACATTATCAACAATATGTGTAAAAACCTAAAGCTAGAATTGCATTGTAGACATTGCAACCCCTGGTTTCTGTATCAACCACAGTAAAGAAATCTTGATGAAAATTCTCCAGAATGCACAACGCTACACCTAGCCACTCAAAATGACTTTGTTTAAATGACATCACAACCACTGAATTAAGCAGAAATTGTAAAGAACTGTGTGAACTGTGTGTGTGCATGCATGTGCACATACCAGTGTCTAAAGTGCTTTGCTTTTACTATTCTCAGTTATGTGTGAGGCTCCTGAGCCAAAGAACAACACAAAGACACCGGGCAAGTTAGAGTCCCAGTTCCGTATGCAGTGTATAGACGGCTATGTAAGGCAGGCTGGGACATCCAATCTCTACAGATGTGAAAAAAAAGACAACTTGTATTTATGGGTGAACGAGCCATCTCTGAACTGTATACGTAAGGAAATTCTACAATAGATTACTTCCGAATGTTGTTATTTTATAGCAAAATCTTAAATGCCCTCACATGCTGTCTTGTTCAGTATCTTATTTCAGTATTTCTTTCTTGCAGCTGATCCGTCAAAGCCGGGATCAACTGCTGGTAAGTAGAATCTTCCTTCATAAACTTTGTTCCTGTCTACCTCTCTTTGATACTCAGTATGGAATTATATATAGAGAATAGTTCAGTATCAGTAGTTCAAATATGCATCCATAGTTCAAATATGCTAATCTTTCTAGCAATAAATGAAAGCAAATACCCACTAAATAGCATGATACACAATCAAGGATGCACAGTGATCAGAATCATATCCATACCAGCGGATAACTGTTTAGGTGTCTTTTGGCATTGGACACATAATTATATTTCACTGATATGTCAAACCGACTCAGTAAGATCTTTTCCCAAGGAACGACCACTCAGACAGGACATAAAGTTTCTGACTAAAGTGTTCGTGAGTCCATTTTCCAACAAGAGCAGCACAGAAAGAATCCATGTAATTCAAAAATAAAACACAAAATAAAAAAAAAATTACATTGTGAACAATGGTTATTGCTTCATGCGAACAAAACTGTGCTCAGAAAAACTGCATAAGCGCCACTTATGAGTTTGAGCACAGGACAAACTAATGCAGCACAGATTATCTATATTTCAATTCAGGAAACTTAATCAGCACTTAGAAATACTATTGTTGTTCTTTTAATGGACAAAATTATGTAACAACACGTAAGATTTTCAGAAGTAAAGCCTAATACAGTATGGCTCTTACACCTTATGTTTTGTACTCGGGAAAAGCAGAATGTTTAGGTAGTGCTGGCTGAGTGTCCTAAAATGTCTGTCTTTTTACTATGTGTAACCTTACCAATAAACGTTATGTCTGTCTGTAATGCTAATCCAGGTGAATTTAGTCCTAATTTCTGTGTCATTCCATGAAAGGAGTGTGCAAATATTCCAGTGCTTGTATTAGAGACAGAAATCTGATAGTTCATTATTGACAGAGTCCATCAAGCATAACGTGTTTACGCCATCACCTAAATAGACAGAGTGTTTTTTTTGGCAATATTCACAGAACAGTCATGTTATCAACTGTTACAAAACTGATGAAGGTCTAACCTTCAGCATGACAACCAATTCAGCCTGAAATATTGAGCCCCATCACATTCCTCAAAAGTTCAATGTGGTGAGGTTATAATTCTCATTGTTATTTTGCACTAAAATGTAAAAGTGGTGACTCAGGTGTTTTTTTTATGGAAGACAAAAACCTGTAATTTATTGACATGAAAAAAATTAGCATTTGGCAGTGATGTCACAGTATGATTCTTCTATGATTTCTCAATGTGTATATATTGGCATCGACGTCGACCAATATGTAAAGGTAGTTGTAGAACTACAAAGTGCACCTATGTGGTAAGTGAAGCGAAAAAAATCGACAAAATGTTTGGTTGGCAGTTTGCTTCATGTAATTATTCTGTTAATATGTTTCCTAAAAGAAATTCCTTATCATTAAAAACATGTATTTTTTTTTCTCTCTCACCGCCTGCTTCAGTCCACTGTTGCTCCCACAATCCCCTGAGCAGGAGTCAAGTACAACACCGATACTAAATTTATCACTTGCAAGCATGTCCACTACTGAGGAGATTATTAATTTGATCATTCCTTTAAAAGAGCTCAGTAAAACTGAGATTAATAACTTATCACACTGCTTCATCAGTCTACTCGGCTTTAGCAGGAACTTCAGTGTTTGTAAAGAAGCTGATACCTGAGATCCACTTTAGAATTCATCTAACAAGCACTAGTTCATAAACAAACATTGATGATGTTTCTTTTGAATGTTTTTTAGTGGGTGGATACTCTAAAAGTATTCTCCTAAAAATGTAAAGGAAGTGTATTCTGACAGTGTTCTGAATACTGTCTTTACAAAATGTAACTTGGACTGAATAGATACTTATTTTTTGTATTCTGAATATTTATTCCCCTATACTTATATTCTGTTACATCCCAGCCCTGTCTGTACGTGGCGACAACTTTATTATGTACACCTAGCTTGATTCTAGTGGTTTAATGTGAAATGATCCATTCTAGAGAAACATTGTTCACAGTGGTGGTGATTGGCACCAGACATCCAAAGTGTTTAATGCCTCTAAAAGCTACATCACAGAAAGTAATTACTCTAAATAGTTACAGATGCACTTCTTGATGCCTGAGACATTGTTTCATTGTATTTTAAAGATAAGCTTTTGGCCTAAACGTATTTGGAGCAGAGTGGTACATGCAGTCAACAGAATACTCAAAAATGTACACTTTTTATTTGGGATTTAGTAATATTTCAACATTATCAACAATATGTGTAAAAACCTAAAGCTAGAATTGCATTGTAGACATTGCAACCCCTGGTTTCTGTATCAACCACAGTAAAGAAATCTTGATGAAAATTCTCCAGAATGCACAACGCTACACCTAGCCACTCAAAATGACTTTGTTTAAATGACATCACAACCACTGAATTAAGCAGAAATTGTAAAGAACTGTGTGAACTGTGTGTGTGCATGTATGTGCACATACCAGTGTCTAAAGTGCTTTGCTTTTACTATTCTCAGTTATGTGTGAGGCTCCTGAGCCAAAGAACAACACAAAGACACCGGGCAAGTTAGAGTCCCGGTTCCGTATGCAGTGTATAGACGGCTATGTAAGGCAGGCTGGGACATCCGATCTCTACAGTTGTGAAAAAAAAGACAACTTGTATTTATGGGTGAACGAGCCATCTCTGAACTGTATACGTAAGGAAATTCTACAATAGATTACTTCCGAATGTTGTTATTTTATAGCAAAATCTTAAATGCCCTCACATGCTGTCTTGTTCAGTATCTTATTTCAGTATTTCTTTCTTGCAGCTGATCCGTCAAAGCCGGGATCAACTGCTGGTAAGTAGAATCTTCCTTCATAAACTTTGTTCCTGTCTACCTCTCTTTGATACTCAGTATGGAATTATATATAGAGAATAGTTCAGTATCAGTAGTTCAAATATGCATCCATAGTTCAAATATGCTAATCTTTCTAGCAATAAATGAAAGCAAATACCCACTAAATAGCATGATACACAATCAAGGATGCACAGTGATCAGAATCATATCCATACCAGCGGATAACTGTTTAGGTGTCTTTTGGCATTGGACACATAATTATATTTCACTGATATGTCAAACCGACTCAGTAAGATCTTTTCCCAAGGAACGACCACTCAGACAGGACATAAAGTTTCTGACTAAAGTGTTCGTGAATCCATTTTCCAACAAGAGCAGCACAGAAAGAATCCATGTAATTCAAAAATAAAACACAAAATAAAAAAAAAAATTACATTGTGAACAATGGTTATTGCTTCATGCGAACAAAACTGTGCTCAGAAAAACTGCATAAGCGCCACTTATGAGTTTGAGCACAGGACAAACTAATGCAGCACAGATTATCTATATTTCAATTCAGGAAACTTAATCAGCACTTAGAAATACTATTGTTGTTCTTTTAATGGACAAAATTATGTAACAACACGTAAGATTTTCAGAAGTAAAGCCTAATACAGTATGGCTCTTACACCTTATGTTTTGTACTCGGGAAAAGCAGAATGTTTAGGTAGTGCTGGCTTAGTGTCCTAAAATGTCTGTCTTTTTACTATGTGTAACCTTACCAATAAACGTTATGTCTGTCTGTAATGCTAATCCAGGTGAATTTAGTCCTAATTTCTGTGTCATTCCATGAAAGGAGTGTGCAAATATTCCAGTGCTTGTATTAGAGACAGAAATCTGATAGTTCATTATTGGCAGAGTCCATCAAGCATAACGTGTTTACGCCATCACCTAAATAGACAGAGTGTGTTTTTTGGCAATATTCACAGAACAGTCATGTTATCAACTGTTACAAAACTGATGAAGGTCTAACCTTCAGCATGACAACCAATTCAGCCTGAAATATTGAGCCCCATCACATTCCTCAAAAGTTCAATGTGGTGAGGTTATAATTCTCATTGTTATTTTGCACTAAAATGTAAAAGTGGTGACTCAGGTGTTTTTTTATTAGAGCATTATGTATTGAAACTATGGAAGACAAAAACCTGTGATTTATTGACATGAAAAAAATTAGCATTTGGCAGTGATGTCACAGTATGATTCTTCTATGATTTCTCAATGTGTATATATTGGCATCGACGTCGACCAATATGTAAAGGTAGTTGTAGAACTACAAAGTGCACCTATGTGGTAAGTGAAGCGAAAAAAATCGACAAAATGTTTGGTTGGCAGTTTGCTTCATGTAATTATTCTGTTAATATGTTTCCTAAAGAAATTCCTTATCATTAAAAAAATGTATTTTTTTTTCTCTCTCACCGCCTGCTTCAGTCCACTGTTGCTCCCACAATCCCCTGAGCAGGAGTCAAGTACAACACCGATACTAAATTTATCACTTGCAAGCATGTCCACTACTGAGGAGATTATTAATTTGATCATTCCTTTAAAAGAGCTCAGTAACACTGAGATTAATAACTTATCACACTGCTTCATCAGTCTACTCGGCTTTAGCAGGAACTTCAGTGTTTGTAAAGAAGCTGATACCTGAGATCCACTTTAGAATTCATCTAACAAGCACTAGTTCATAAACAAACATTGATGATGTTTCTTTTGAATGTTTTTTAGTGGGTGGATACTCTAAAAGTATTCTCCTAAAAATGTAAAGGAAGTGTATTCTGACAGTGTTCTGAATACTGTCTTTACAAAATGTAACTTGGACTGAATAGATACTTATTTTTTGTATTCTGAATATTTATTCCCCTATACTTATATTCTGTTACATCCCAGCCCTGTCTGTACGTGGCGACAACTTTATTATGTACACCTAGCTTGATTCTAGTGGTTTAATGTGAAATGATCCATTCTAGAGAAACATTGTTCACAGTGGTGGTGATTGGCACCAGACATCCAAAGTGTTTAATGCCTCTAAAAGCTACATCACAGAAAGTAATTACTCTAAATAGTTACAGATGCACTTCTTGATGCCTGAGACATTGTTTCATTGTATTTTAAAGATAAGCTTTTGGCCTAAACGTATTTGGAGCAGAGTGGTACATGCAGTCAACAGAATACTCAAAAATGTACACTTTTTATTTGGGATTTACTAATATTTCAACATTATCAACAATATGTGTAAAAACCTAAAGCTAGAATTGCATTGTAGACATTGCAACCCCTGGTTTCTGTATCAACCACAGTAAAGAAATCTTGATGAAAATTCTCCAGAATGCACAACGCTACACCTAGCCACTCAAAATGACTTTGTTTAAATGACATCACAACCACTGAATTAAGCAGAAATTGTAAACTGTGAACTGTGTGAACTGTGTGTGTGCATGTATGTGCGCATGCCAGTGTCTAAAGTGCTTTGCTTTTACTAATCTCAGTTATGTGTGAGGCTCCTGAGCCAAAGAACAACACAAAGACACCGGACAAGTTAGAGTCCCAGTTCCGTATGCAGTGTATAGACGGCTATGTAAGGCAGGCTGGGACATCCAATCTCTACAGATGTGAAAAAAAAGACAACTTGTATTTATGGGTGAACGAGCCATCTCTGAACTGTATACGTAAGGAAATTCTACAATAGATTACTTCCGAATGTTGTTATTTTATAGCAAAATCTTAAATGTCCTTGAAATTGCCCTTGTATGCTGTCTTGTTCTGTAAGACTCCTCAGCATTGGTTATTCAATGAGAAATCATTATTTTCAGTGTTGGTATATGCAGTAGCCATGATTTGAGTCATGTTTTTTTAGGTTTGATCTCATTATCAGCCTTGATCCCTATGATAAAGAGGATCGTATATCAACCACTTGGATTATTTCACAATGGCTCACTTGCTCAGCATAAACAAATAACTGAGAGGCTTGTAGCTTTGACTGTTTTTCACAGCCTGTGTCCTGAGAGTACGCAGGATTAGCATAATACTACAGTGCTGAAAGATAGGCTAGACTGATGAATCGTGAGGATTGCCAGATTGCCAAAATTCAGTATGATGTTAATATTTCAATATGTCATTCTTGCAGCTGATCCATCAACGCTGGTGTCATCCGCTGGTAAGTAGAATCCCTACTTATTGGTGGTTCTTCATTTGCAGTTTTTGTTACATGCAATAACGTTTGATCAGTGATAATTAATATTAATATTTCAATTTCATGTATGAGGCTCCAGGGACGTGGGAGGGTGTTTTCAGTTGAGGGTGCTGAAATTCTAAGCAGGAGGATGTACAGTGCTCAAAAGTTGTCTTGGGACACTCTCTTCATACAATGTTTATCTTTCCAAAATATAAGTGTATATTCGTATGTTATTTGTATCCATCAGAAAACAACCACGTTTACTGCCTGAAACTCATAGCGGTAATTAACTGAAAGCTTAATGAAGGCAAATAAAAAACACAAACATCAGTGGGACAAACATTATTGTCTCTTTCCTTTATGTAGGTCAGTGTTAGTATTTTATTTAGGGCAGTATGTTGTTTGCACTTGTGTTGAACATGTACTGAAGTGGTGGAAAGAGACAGGACATTTTATTTTATTACCTAGTGACCTCATGGTTGAAAAAGCATTGCTAAGATGCCCAATAGAGTGGCAAAAATTAGAAGGAAATGCCCTATTGGCCACCCTTCACATAGAAAGGGTGCACCCTCCTTGCAATAAATTATAGAGCAAGAAAATTTGATAATGTATCTTAATGAGTGCACTTCTAGTGGAGAAAACATGATGCAGTGCCCTCTAAGATGCCACATAGGTGCCCTCATTGGGATAGACTTGACACTGCCTACAGTTGCCTTTCTGATTAAAAATCATGCCCTTCCAAGTGAGAAAACCCAATGAAGAGCCCTTGCAATGGAGAGAAAAAATCCCAGTGAAGAAGAACAAGATGCAGTGCCCTACAGCCTCCCCTACAGCATGTCCTCTAGTGCAGGCTTTCCGAAAGTGGGTGCAGTGACGACAGTCTAAGGGTGCCACCAAATACTTTGATAAGATTTCCAATTTACCTCTCAAACCCTGCTTACATTCAAAACATATTGTATGGTTGCCAACAAATCTATCCTTAGTTGTTGCAATGGGCCGATAAATTAGTATCTAGCTATTATTTTGATGTAATCTCTTCTGCACTGTTTTTTATTTTTAATGTACCCTTTAGGTGATGTTAGATTATGTTAGGTGAACTGCATTTGATAGTAAAAGACAAAGGAAATTGTTGCCAATGATACACAATAAAGTTTAAAATACTCATTCTGACTTGAAAACCTACATCTATTCCATCCATTTAAGTTTTAAATTTTAGCCACACCCCCTTTAGAATTTTAAGATGTCAGAAGGGCTTAATACCATAGATATACATACCTAGATGCCGCGTTGGGTCCAGTCAGGCACGTCAACAGCGCCACCATTTTAGAGCGGTCAACATCGCTGGGGGACTGCATTCAGTACCATTACCGAGCGACAGTTTAAGTAAGACACTGTCAAAAATTATACTATTTCAAGAATATTGCACTCAGAAAATGAGATAGGATTATATAACGGAGGGAACCCAGCGATCCACACTCATGTCTGTGTGATGCGTATTGTTTGTGTGATGTTTATGTGTAGATATGGCCGTGTGGTTAGTGAGGCACAGAGAACCTGTTGATGTGATTGTTGTTCCTCTGGATTTATATTAAGCTTATTTCATTTAATAGCCTATTCAGGGGACCTTAACTTTATGTAGTAGTTATTTACTTACAATGATCGTTAATGCTTTGTAGCTAGGTAAATTATTGTATTCATTAATCTGTGTAGATATTCAGAATAGATTCATATTAGCACCTTACACGAAGCTTAAGTTAGCTACTTATTTGTCAGCTTCTTGTTCGAATTTCCACCTTAAATGATGCATCACCAGCATCTTGTTCGAATTTTCCTGTTCCACCTTAAATGGTGCAGCTTCAGGCACCAGAAAGTGACTGCTGAACCATTTAAGGTGGAACGGGAAAACTCGAACAAGAAGCTGGCGAGTAGGAAGCCAACTTCAGCTTCGTCCTGCTTACTGTGTTTGGGTTTTTTTTTTTTTTTTCATGTGTATTAAGATTAGAAGTGACTCACACTTGCTGATGTGTGTGAGATTATGTTTCTACCAGAGCTCGCGCTAAAGCCAGTTTGTTACGTCAGGTGCAGACTGAATACTTTTCTGCTGGTCTGAACGGTTAATTAGCACGATCAGTTATTAAAGAAATAAAAGCTACCGAGAGCAGTCCGTGCAGCCTAATCGTTCTCTCATTTTCTTTTAATCGTGCGCGCGTTTTTCTTCGTGGGTACGCTTTCTTTAATTCATGATCACGATTTTCTAATTCGTTCTCTCGTTGTTTTATTTTTAACTGAATGCACATTGTTTGTATTTTGATAACAGCTCCCTGAGACTGCCTGACGGGTTTTGATGTGTTAGATTGATGAGATAATGATCAGAGATGCTCATTAGGTCTGATTTTGATTTGGGGGTGGGGGTGATGGATAAGGAAACTGCAGCTCCTCTTCACAGCAAACGGCCCACAGCGTTTCTGCTCTCGCGTCAAGCTGCGGTGTTAGAGACCATCGTACAATTAGAAGAAATGATCAGCGTTTCAACATCCTCACATTAACATATCTATATCTAATCCATAGATCTATTAAACTCTCTCGCCATTTGACCTCATCCCACATTAATGTTTCTGTGTGTGTTTAATTTGAGTTTGTTGAAACAAATCGACACTGACCGTTTTTTCCTGTGATTGTGTGATGATCTCTAACACCGCAGCTTGTCGCTGGAGCAGAAACAGCGCTAAGCGGCCGCGCTTCTTCTATATCTCTGTTAAGTATGATCATTAGAAAGTGCAGTTTAGTGAAGATTGTGGTTGTAGTTTATTGTCTTCCTTCATTTCACCACGAAACTGCAGCTGCACTGATGAATCCGTGGGCCGTTTTCTGTGAAGAGGAGCTGCAGTTTCCTCATGATGAGCATCATGATGACCTGATGAGAATCTCTGTCCATTATCTTATCAATCTAACTCATCAAAACCTGTCAGACAGGAAGTGGTTCTCTACGCATGTGCGTCATTTTCGATTGGATAATCTGTAATCAAAATGTATTCAATCAAATTGGCAAAAATCTTTGCATGTAAACATAGCCATAGTGTGCCATAAGAAACTTCCTAAACTATCATGATATTACATTTTGCCATATTGCCCACCTCTAGTGTCTCAAATTTGTTTTTAAGTAACATGGGGGAGGGGAGAGGTGACATTTTTCTGGCCTGCCATTGCTAAGTTGGAATCAAAGTATTGATGAATAAGTCATACTATAACTTATGTACTTTCGAATATGGTAAAGCAAAACTTACACAATACGTTAACAACTTAAATTATTCTAAACAAAACAAAATGATGATCCCAAAACTACTTCTGAGCACTGTGTGTGACCTGAACAGTGAGGTCATGGAATATATGCCTTTTTTTCATTTGTAGTTGTTGGATAATTTACATCAATTAAACCATACTCAACATAATGTGACGAACAGAGACAATTTACACATATAACACATCAAAGCGCTGATGCACACTCTGTTCTCTCTGATCTCTCATTCTGGATAAACTTTATGATCAGATAGACCAATCATTCAACATGAAGACATGGAACATCATGGAACATCTGTCACATTAGTTGAATTTTTTAAAGTTAAAAAAAAAAACCAATATTAGGCTGCTTTGGGGCGCACAACTAGCCCACAACTCTGCAAACATTTTAACTTGTTTTTTTAAACTTTTTTTTTTTTAACTCTAGCTTGTGTTTTGATGTGCCCCGCAAGGCAGCCAACAATTAGTAAAGGAAGCACTTTGGCTCGCTGTAATAAAAATGCAGTAATGTAAATGACCACTGCAGATATATAAAGAAAATGCAAATTCCACCCTGAAACAAGCATAAGTCTGCTCACAATATCGTTTTTTTGTTGCAGTTAAGCGGTTTTGAAATATGTTCAGGCTGCAACCCCCTCGGCACCATTCCCACATCCTGCCTGCGATCTGATCTCTCTCTGACACATCTGTGGTTGATTATCATGTGCAATCTTTTACCTATGCTTACAAAGACCAGAAAGTACTTACTATTTGTCAGAAAAGCACCTATTAAAGCCTTTTTGAATCAACAGTTTTCTGTGTTTTTTCCTGAGTACAGGGAAATGCACCAACATTGTTGTCCATGGCAATCAATCTTACAATATGGATGTGGTTGACAGAGATAAGTTTAAAAAATGGCAAAGTATTCCCTTAAAGCCCCTTTAAAGCAATCAGTTATAAAGTTGACTGCCTGTTTTTCTGCATATCTTTCTCTCTCTCTTTTTCTCTTTATTTCTCTCTCTCTCTTCCTCTCTTTCTTCCTCCCTCTCTCTCTCTCTCTCTCTCTCTCTCTCTCTCTCTCTCTCTCTGTCTCTCTCTCGTCCCCTTGTGTACAGGTTACATACGTAATGTATAGGTGTGCATGCTAAAATGATTGATGACTATATACAAAGAGTATACATTACGGTGACAATTTGCATGCATTCTTTTATAATCATAAAAAAAGCTAAATTACTTCCTGCTTTCTTCCCTCCCTACACAAAACATCCTGATAAGAAGTTGCTTGCTCTAGAGCCAGAAACACTCAAAGAAATAGTGAACTGGAAAACTCTGTTCTGTATAAAAGAAAAGGTGCAAGAAATATTATAACGGGATGGCTGGCCATATTTGAGCTTTGTCAAAAAAAGTGCTGCATTGAAATGACTTGATTCAAATGTGTACATATGTCCACATGAATTAAAAATATAACATCAACACAGTTTTGCCCTGCATACTTTAGACTTGAATTGTGTTGAGGTCATCTATTTTATGTGTAAATGATGTACACATGTGAATCGAGTGCATTCAAACCACACATTTTTCAGTGTTTCTTCATTGCTGGCTTTTGCTTCTTGGTGCAGGCCTCACTTATGGCATCTGATAAAGGTGACAGACAGTGGGATGGCAAAACAGATGTTCCCACATAGCGTCATGCTTCATGGAAAGATGTTCTAGGATTGGATGGAAATCTTAAATATTTGTATTCTTTTACAGTTACAAACACACAGGCCCACACACCAGCCCCAAATCTCACTCTTTCGACATCCAGTACAACAGTGAGATCTTATTGTACCACCAAGGGAAAAACACCGAGCACTTCTACGACATCTGGTATGAATGGTTTCATAATGTGTGTTTGTATGCATTAAATTGCCTTGATTCAGACGTGTACATCATTTCCACCTGAATAAAATATATCACTTTTTCAGTTTACTTCTCACAATAATTGGTCAGATATATTTTATTAAAATGGAAATGATGTAAGTGAGAATGGGACACAACATTTTGGTGTTTAATGAATAATTTTAAAAGTATTTAAGCAAAATTATTTTTTATACAAGATACCTACACGTTTCTGCGACAAATTAAAACATAAACTTTGTTTCCAGCACGTAGTGTCTAGGAAGGGCTCAGCCGGGAGCGCAGATGTTACAATTTACCCCATACGTGAGGTTAATTGTAACAGACAAAGGGATTAGTTGTCTGGGAAATCAACCCAAACACAAGTAATTCAGTGCAGTTCTATGTTATTTGAACACTTTGAGCTTTCCAAAATGGAAGAAGATGGCAAAAAGAGGCTGTCAGAAATGACAAGTTGTCTGCAAAGTAGAATACAGTTATATTAAAATATAAATTACAATTATACAAAACATCAGCACAATAGAATTGAAATATATTTTATATACATGACTTCAGTAGTATGTTTTTGATGAATATGTACATAAAATAATAATAAAAATAATAATAATAATAATGAAATAATAACTGCTTTGAGTTTATATAAGGGGTATATGGACTTCTTTCATAGTTTAACCTAACTAACCCCTCTGCTCTTTAGCTTGGCTAGCGCTCATTGTGAGTTATTTAAGTGCGTCAGAGTGGTGCTACATTACAGCCCCTGATAGGGTAGGATTAAATTGCATAATAATTATGTGACTTAAACACACAACTCAGAAATCAAAAATGCTTGTAATGAAAAAGTTACTTTAATGGTACAAGAACAGTCATCATGGTAAATCTCTAGCAATATCGGTCCGATCGCTGTGGAAATTTGCAGATGATGTTTCTATTGGAATACGAGCGGATGACCAAATGCACATTTCATTTCAGCCTATTTAGCTGCATGAAACATTTTACCCGGTGTTCGGTTGTGCCCCGCTCTCCCTTACACATTTGAATACAGTGCTTTCAATGCATCCCTTTTTTTCAGGGTGTGCCCCGTATGTGTGCTCCTGTATGTCTGATATTTCTTTGTATGATACGCTCCTTTTGACCGCTGACAGGACAGACTGCCTTAACAACAACACACACAGTTCCCACAACAACAGGGACTGTCCTCCATGGGACAACAATGAAGGAGGAGACCTCGACCAATGAGATTACACTTTCATCTTTCTCTACCTTGACAGTCAGGGAAAACCAGACCACAGTTTCCCCACGGTTCACACATTCAAGCATCAACACCACCACGACAGGTGAAAGCAGACTACCGTTTGGTCTCCAGCTGGCATGAACTAAACCAAACTAATCGCTGCCTAATTCAAATACTTTCCACGCTGAAAAAATAACATGGCTGTGAATTTACTTGATTCGGATGTGTGCATCAGCAGCGACCCTTCCCTCTAGGAAACAAGTGGACCCAAGCTTTGCCAGTAAAATGCTTCCCACAGCGTAACAGAGCCACGAACCCACTCACTGTAGGGGTTAACCGTTCAGTCCTGTGCCATTCTTTTGGTGTGCATTGGGGAAGATGGTGAAGATGACTCATCTGACCATTTTACTTTTTCCACATCTTTGTGCTTGATGTTTTTACACCGCTGATCTCTCAGATGGTCATTAATCTTTGTAATAAGGGGGTTTATACATTGCAAACCTACTATAAAATCTCTCTATATGCGGTTGTGGATGGATTGCTCATGCTGGCACAGTCTGATCACATCCTGCAATAACATTCTCATTCACCCAAAAAACAGCTGCTCTTCTGTTTTTCTTCACAGTCATTGAATGTATGCTTTCAACCACAATCTCCACAATCTTTCCGTAGATCTGAAAGCAGATGGCACTGTTCCTATGGAAACACTAGCCAGTTGAGCAGTGTTTGTGACTTAAGCTCCTGCTGTCCAATAATGAATCCTCTTTCAAAATCACTTCTCCTCTTGCCGTCTTGATCCAAAGTCAAGGTCAACTGGGCCTGCTCAGCATTTTTATGCATGCCACATGCATAGTGTGGTGTGATACTAATTGGTTAAATGTAAACCTGTCTAAATGCATCTGCGCTCGTTATGTTTCACCAGTCATTTATTCAGGTTTTTCTTTTGGTTTGTCACCCGTCTGAATGCTCACATTAACAGAGTGAAGACATTAGTTCACAAACATGACTGAAGACATTTGCTGAAACATACAAGTTCAAATCACATCCTGCACTGAAAGACTGTAAGACAAAACTTTTGATGTAATATATGTTGTTCACATAGAATTGATGTACACATTTGAATCAAGTGAATTCAGCACTGTTTTTTTTTCATTGCAAATTAAATTTAACCGATCAACCAATATGACCAGCCAACAATTCATATCACCTCATTTCCATTTCTTACTCTCATGGAAAAACCACAGGTGCTGGATTTCACTGTGATGCTTTCTTTTTGGCTTAACAAATGGGAGTAGATGGGCTTAGACTTTTCCATAAGTCATGGTCAGTGCAGCAGGGGTCAGTACACTGACAAATGGGGTTATAATGGGTTTACAGAATGTTGGCAAAATCACATTCATAATCAATGAGAGATTCAAACAATCTTTGTTCAGATTTTCTGCATAATGAGTTTTCAGTTTAAAATGCTATGCCACAGAGCTGGGCTGCGTTGTTGCTAATTGAATCTAGGCAGGGTGGAAACCATGAGAAATTTACACCATGCTAACATTAGTATAAGTGTAACCTTTCACATACATACAATGTAAATGTAATTTGAAATGAATAACACTGTCACGTTAGGTATTTGGACTTGTGTGCTGCAGTTTCTCATTAGGTTGAATGGGGATTTTTTGCCAGTGTTTTGTAAAGCTTTTCCAACCTTGTCCAGTAGCAGCAGTTGCTACTAAAGAATGCATGGCTACGTCAATTGAAAGAACACATGCAAGATTTCACCAAGGGACATTTTGGCTACATTCACATGCCTTATTAAGCCACATATGTACATGATTTTTATGTTCGCACAGTGTAGAAGAAATACTGTCTATGTCACATTTAGGCAAATAATTTAGCCCCATCATGTGAACATAGCCTGAATTTAATTTCACAAAGTGTTCTCCAATCCTAAATGTACTACATAATCAAAGCTTAGGTGGAATCCATTAATTGAATAAAATACATTGCCGTTCAGAAGTTTGGAATCAGGTGCCATATGCATAATGTAATTAAATTATATTCAGTGATATTTTAATAATAATAATGATGAAAAAACAAAACTCATTTAAAAGGAGATAATGTGCATTTCATATCTGCAATAATCTATTCAGTGTGTTGGTATTTGTTTTATAATTTTTTATAATGGTATAAATTCATTTTTAAATAGGATCATCAATTTTACCACCCAGAAAAGAACATCAGAATTGCTTAGATGAATCACGTTTAGCTTGGTGCTAATGGAAATTGATGTTTATGCTAGTAGTATAAATCTCATGAAGAAAGATGTCTATGTATGACTAACACACAGCTGTATTTAGGTCTCAGTATAAACAAAATGAGATTACTGAAAGTGACGGTATGGCTAAGCACAGCACAGTTTCCCAGTCAATGTTGTTGGTACTATATTGTTGCGTGCTGTTTCCAAATCCATGTCACACGTAACTGAGTTGTTAGTGTCCCGATGTTCCCGCCTCCAGGGACACCCAAATTTGTTTATAACATGCACTGACTGTCAGAAAAAAATTGTCAACTGACAGAACATCAGCTTCACATCAAAGTTGGCAAAAGCAACGTTTCTGACAAATGACGCCTAAGTCTTTATAAATGTTTATGGAGGTCTGTTATGAAGGGCGTAAGTATGTGTATGTAGCCTTATGAATATGACCTACAGTATTGTTACCTTACTTTATTTAATAGGCAAATAATGCATGTCATGTCATTTACTCAGTTATGTATTCAGAATAATTTTCAAATTATCTTCCAGATTTTTTTTTTTCAACCTTTTTTTTAAATACAATGAATACTAGATGATTTTATTATGCATTTATAAACTTCATTCATTATCTGTCTTTAAATTTCTTATTTATTAAGTGCGGTCAGTTGATCCAGACTCCTGGCAATCATATGGATAGTGTTTCTCAAGAATATCACGTCTTCTGTTTGGGTCTTCAGGCTTCTTAATGACTTGTTCACAATTCCTTATTGTCTTATTTTTTTGCTGCCCCTTCACTTCCTTTTTTACCTTCAGCTGTTCCAAGCATAATTGCCTTTTCCAGTGCGTTAGATCTTCTCACAATATATCCAAAATAAGAGAGCTTTAATTTGGTTATCTGTTCTTTGAGTGGGCAGTGAGGCTTGATTTGGTCAAGAATCTGTTTGTTTTCTTTGCTGTCCAAGGTACTCTCGCAGGTCTTTGCCAGAAACTTCATTAATGTTCCAAAGTTTTCTTGGTCATTATAGAATGTTCTAGAGCTTTGTAAATCTCTCTGGACACATCTAATATATATATTTTTTTTTTTCCGGATTCTCAGTTTTTTACTGTTTCCACAGGACGAGAGTATTATAATCAATGTGTACGTTTATCTACAGCCAAATGGCATTTATCTTATTGGAAACATTCGAAACTTTTGAACGGTAATGTGTCAAACCCTTACTTCCTGTAAGTTCTACGTGTGTGGGGGTTTTATAAGGGTATCAGAAGCATGATTGTTTGACTCATTTTCACAAGTTTGAACATGATCCGCCAGCTTCGCCATCATGTACGTTTCAAATACTTTTTATATGGAAGTTCAAATGGCACTTTGAAGTCTGCACATGTAGTTATTAATTTTAGTTACAGGAAAGAGTATAAAAACCTGTGCTTCCTGACAGGATAAAAGCTCTGTGCCTATGTGGCTTGGTGTGAAGATTTTAGATAAACAGAGTGATAAGCTGACATATATATATATTTCCTGTACTTGGTCAAACGTGAGCAAGGGTAGCATTTGCTTATGACAGAGGCAAATGCCATAACTTGGCATCATGACAGTGGAAAAATATGAGCCTTGAAAGTTGATCTATGGTCAGATTTTCCTTGGGGGCACTGCAGATGGTTATTATGGGAAAAAAGTTCATCTCTTGACTTTTTGACTCTGGACGAGGTCATCTTTAGACTTTTAAGCTACATATTTATAAAGAAATTACTGGGCAACAGCTTTCAGTTGTATTACATGACAGCAAGTGTATACTGTTAAATGGCCTGTGCCATTAAAATCTATATATACAAAACATATCACAAGAAACACAAACAGGATCATCTGTGCTATAAATGGGGACATGACTCTGCTGCCCTCACTGTGTCTAAGCAAAGCCACTGAAGACATACAGTGCATGAACACATACTTCTTCCATATACAAAACACTACGAACTTAGCTGTCTAATGAACTTACCATAAACTCACTCTCGGGTATTTGTAGGTAGGGTTGGACAGGATCCACTTGTTTTATACATTGAAACTGTTTCCAGATATTACCGCTGTAAATAGAATTGCTAGGTAACTGCAGGAAAAACCACCATACCTTGCTAAACCATTGGGATTAAAACCTAATGGTTTTGCTTTCTAATGGGAATTGGCTCAACGGTTTCCAAAAGAGACCACTAGTTTCTTGTAGAACACATTTAGATCCCATTAGGAAACCATCAGATGCATTTAGAATGAGCCATTAGTCACCTTTTAAACCATTAGGATCCTTTACATTGTGATATCAACCCATTACAACAGCCAAGACACATTACAAAACCATCAGGAACCAACAGAAACCCTTATTGGTTTCTTTTTTTGTTTAGCCAGGTAGACCAATCATTTAATAAATATCAAGCCATCTATCTAATGGTTCCTATATATTAAACAGTGCCGCTACCTAGGAGAGAGGAGCTGGTTAGCATTAGCTGAGCTAGCATGATAACAGCTCTGCTCACCACAGACCATTTTTGATTCTGGCTAAATAAAGCACCAACACAAGTTTAGATGACAGTGAGTCAGATCTAAGGGAGTGAAGTCGAGCAACTAGCATTGAAGGAAGGGAAAGCGACGTTAAACCTGTTTGAGGGTGTTTGGATCTGTAGCCTAATCGGCTAAGCGAGCAGGCCATAGACCCAAACAGTGCCACACACCGCAGTACAGGTTGATTAACCGGTGCTCTGCTAAAACAGGTGTAGATGATAAAAACTAAGGTCTGAGAGAGCAAACGTAGAGTAACATGGTGTTTTGGTGTTTTGGCTAAGCTAACGATGACTGGGGTGTCAGGCTGAGGAGGACAGAAGGTAGAGTTGCATGTGGTGCATGAGCTGGAGGGAAACACCTGTGTCTCCTCTAACTTTCTTTGTCTCTTCTTCTCTAGCTCACTCATTGACCGTCCATCATCTCCATTGCACTATTGAACTTGAATGCAGATTGACGCACACAGACTCAATTCTGGCGCCTGAATTAAATGTTTGTGCCAACAGAAGTCAATTGAAAGACGTCTGTTGTGCTGTAAGATTTAAATTGTGCATCATCGATTGATTGATTGATGTTTAAATGAGCCCAAATTAAAGGTTTTTTCAGTAATTGTATAAGTGTGTGTGTGTCAGAATGCTGAACACATGCCAACAACAGCTGTGACTCACTGTCAAAACATACACCCCACCCACTATTCACAACTCTCTTGTTCTCTCTTTCAGAAGCCAATGAAAGGAACAAGGCAGAGTTTTCAGTTTTAAGTAAGTGGTGGCAGATCTGTAGTTTTAGTGCATCAGCTTCTATTCACTCAGATGACCGATGACTCCTTCCCTGTGCATTGAAAAATGTGCTGCTTTGAACTAACTAGATTCATTGTGTGAATCATTTCCACAAGAATGAAATATATTACCTCAATGCAGTTTTATTTTCAGTTTACTTACATTGGGAAATAACTGTTTTGATGTAATACAGCAATCTCTACTACCAGCCCACGAGACAATTTTTTCATTTTTTATTGACTTATTGTTTACATGTAATGGATAGATTTGCTTCACTCACCATTCACTGTGGCTGGTTGCCCGACATAAAATAATAAGAAATGAATTAGATAGATAGACAGACAGACAGACAGACAGGACAGATACTTTATTGATCCCGAAGGAAATTTAGCAGCCAGTAGCAGTGCCACAACACAGGACAGTAATGAGGATGTAAACAATATAACAGGAAGAATAAATATTAAAAGATCCTATCTACAGACATTTACACAAATAGAAAAATACAACAGTCTGTAATAATATCTTTAAACAGAGATGAAAAGACACAGTGCAATAATGACTGTACAAGGAGGCACAGGTAACAGGCATATAATGACAATACTGAATAAATATGTGCAGATATTGGTACCAAAATAAAATGTCTAGTGTGGAGTGTCCAGATGTGCAAGATGCACAATAAGGTGTGCAGAAAAAGCAATATGTGCAGTAAGGTGTCCATATGGATAAAAAGAAACATACGATTTAGCATGAGATACAAGGCCTATGATTTGTGACTTAACATGAGATTCAGTTTCAGTCCTCATCTCTCCTCTTCCCTCTTCTTTCTTCTCTTCTGGCCCCCCTGGGAAGAGTTGAAGAGCCTGATGGCTCTGGGGACAAAGGATCTCCTTAATCTGTCAATTGAGCAGCTCTGTGACAGCAACCTGCCACTAAACATAAAAATGATTGAATGAATCCACTGAGAATAGCGCAATCACAGTAAAAGTCACAAAAAATTCTACTGAAAAAGTTTACTTGATTTGATTTCATGCTCTTATTTATTTAACACTATGTATTTATATTACAACCCCTGCTGCAACAAATAGCAATTATTAGTAGTAGTGGTGTTATGTGGTGACAAGAGTTTTTCTACAAAAAGAAATCCTTTCTACATTTTACATTTTTCTCTTTCTCCATCTAAAAGTTTCCTTATTCTTCTGTTTTCTCAAACTTTAGCCAAAAATGGAATAGCTGCAGGGACAGTACTAACCTTGACTGTCATCGCAGCATCAGCAGTAGGAGTTTTTCTGTGGTGTCGACGGTAAGGTTTTGAACATGTGCACTCTGAATCACACCTGATATTTTCTGTTGTGTTGGGAAGGACTTGTTAAGAGGCCATTACTTGGTAGGGACTAGTGCAAATATACACATGTTTATAGGTTTCATATTATTTTCAATTCTGAGGTCAGTTTTCAATGTAATTATTTGTATTTTATGTGTTCATAGTTGCAGGGACAACAGGGGCAAGCAAGCATTTGCCCTATTACTTTTTAAAAAGTACTGGGGTGATGCCAGACCACTTTTCCCTTGAGTTCAGGCCGATTTTATGAGGAAAAAAGCCCTTTGCATTTTTAAAAAAAGTTTTATGTCAATTAATTGATCAGTTCATTGATTATTGATAGTGGCTTCCACAAAAGACAGACCCTTAGAGGATAGGGAGGTGTGTATTGTTGGTAAAGTTTCAAATTTAAATAACTGGAAATTGTATTGAGATTGTTACAACTTTAGCAATGTGTAATATCAATGAATAGTCTAACAAATGAATAACATTATGTTGAGGAATCATAATAATATAATGACTTTAATATTGTAATAAGTTATTTGTTTGCAACCCTTAATGCAATAACTAAACTTAGTGAATAGTCAAAATCATATATTAGCTGTGAGTAATCCATGACTTCTAACAGTGTAATAATTTATTAATGCACAAGCCTTCAGGTAAAGTGCTACTTTTTGCTCAAAAAGTGCCTCTTTTTGGTTATTCTCTCTCTTTGTCTCTCTTTCTCTCTCTAAGTTCAAGGCAAGGAGCGGTCAGCATTCCTCCTGAAGAGATGATATTACAGGCCCCTGGCTCAGATAAGCCCTTATTAGACACGCCCACCACAACAAGCAGCTGCCTTTCAGACTCTGTCCAAAATCCAGACTCACCTCCTCCTCTTACTGTCTAGCATGTCTAATTAAATTAGCTGTTAAAGCTGAGAAATATTAATATATTATTTTGCTATGTGTGAGTGTTATATATGTATATGTATACTGAGTGAGAGGGACATGTGTGTGTTTTGCTTGCCAGCTTGCTCTTGTACAGAAAATATGAGATACATGTAAAAATATATAAATATAGGACAATAAGCATTTTGTCAACAAAAATTGTTTCATAAATATTAGCACCCCCAGATATTCTTAGGAACAAAATTTAATGAAATTAAATGAAACAAAGAAAGTGGAAAAAAGTGGAACCCATTGTCCTCAGGTCATAAACAGTGTTTAAGTGATACTCATATATAAAAAGTGACCAGAATGTAGACACATTCCTTGACAATATTCTTTAAGACCTTTGACCACAGTGGCATTTTTCTTTCAGAACAATAAATGTTTACAAGAAACATGAATTTGTTGTTGGCTTCTCATTTTGTGAATTTCATACATAAAAACTGAAGGAAAAATGTTACGTTCACCAGCATCCAAAAAACAGCATAGATCAGCATTCCTGATCACCAGAAATACCAGCATGTGTCATGTTTTGGATGCTGGTATGCTGGTTAACCAGAATCACCATACTGGGTAACAGGCTAAATCAGCACCAAAGCAGCTTAGGCCAGCATGAAATGCATGTTGGTGGGTTATGTTTTTTTAGCAGGGAAGCCATGCTGTTTGTTGGTTTTTCTACAAGAGTACACATGTGAGTGTTTATCATGTGCAGTAGAAATTTGCTGACATGTAATAGCTGACGGTTCTACGTGCTTCAGCAGTTTTAAAGCTGTAGGTCTAAAAGTATCTACACTGTTGTGTCCCAGTGAATGCTCTGCTCTCTGGTTAGCTGTGGAGGTATTACAGCTCCAGATGGAGGATATCGTTGGCTAGCTTACCCACTGGCCGTTTTCTGAGATGTCCCCTAACATTTAAATAGTGTTGTGCCTTTTCATTTAAGAGTTTCCACACATGATTCAGTTTACTTATTTTGTCTTTATTTACTTGATTCTTTTGTAAATTGGTTTAAATAATTTTTTTTTACAGAAATATATGTAAAGTCACATATATTTAATAATGCCAGCACAAGTTAATCTTGAAAGTAAAATTGGCATAATTTGGCAAACTGGCAGCAAAGATACCTAATACTTAATGTACAGTGAACGTTTAAATAATGGAACAACTGAGTATTAATTTAAAAAGTTCAGCATATCAGATCAGATTAGGCTTTGATTATATAAGCACGACAGCTTTATTAGGCCTGGTACAGTGTCAGCAACAGAAAATAAATAAATAAAAATTCACACAATGGTTTCAAATTAAAGGCTATAGTTTATTTTAATTTTCCTATTTGTATTAGTTTAATGTATGTATTCCTGCAGGGTGGACAAACTCCAAATAGGAACTTAACTCCAAACAGATTGTTGTTTAACTCCGAATTAGTTTGCTTTGTGATTGGTCTAATACAACTATATGCAAACAGACTTAACTTCAACAGGTCCTGTAGACTTCACAACATTTTGTGCTCGACTTGTTAAAAATCAGTGCTTTAAGTATTATCCCAATGAAATGTTGACCTTTTAACCCAAACAGTAGTTTTATATACAGCAAATATAAAACGTCTGCATGCTTGAAATAGCAGTATTTTTTTCTGATGTAAAACCTAAAATTCGTACACACATACTAAATTATTTGAATAAGAATGCCTTTGTTCACTGAGGATACCTGATAAATAATAATAATAATAATAATAAGAAAAATGATAGGGTTTTTTTCATTAATTAAATTGAGAAGAGTAGGTGTTTCAACATTTACACAAATTCTTATCCACTTGACTTTTAGGCTGTCAAAGAATCTTAAGACTACAATGTGGATCAGTGTGGATCAAACCTGGATCTGACCCTTTTATCTACACATAGTTTAGATTATTTAAAAACAAAAAAAAGACAGCCAGCCAGGAGGAACATGGAATCCAGTGCCAAACAGACTTCTCAACAACCAATAGCACTCTTGAGTTCTGCCCTGCTGTTTGGAGCTGTGCTCTAAATAGAATGGCATAACTCAGAATAGCAGGTCATAACCCAGAATAGCAGGTCATAACCCAGAATAGCAGGTCATAATCCAGAATGGGAGGGCGTAACGGCAGTCTTTTTATGAACACATCCAATGGGCCAAACAGAGGGTGTGTTACCCAACAAGATACGATAGGATACGAACACTAAAAGTTTAGTATACAGACATTGAACTTACACACCAAAGTATATAAACCAACTTGTACTCACTATCTACACAGGTGCAGGTCAGAAGGTCACAACGACATGTAATAACTTGCTGGCCGCAAACAGGTAAGAACTGAAATCTCAGTAATTTTCTGTGCAGTTAGTTGAATTTGTTGGGATGTAGTTAGACCCTCTGTGGCTCCTGTAGGTGACGAATGCTATAAAACACTGACATAAATGATACAAAATTTACAAAGTTAAGAGAGAAACAAAAGAAAAGCATAAATTCTAATAGCAAACTTTATAGAGTAAAATCCAGGCTTTTCCCAAGTATTATCTGTGATTTATGCATTCCATAAGAATTTGTGATGTTTTCTTAAGTGAAACACATTTCTTATTAAATAATTACTCCATTTTAGATGATGAGTAGGTCTACTAACACTTTCCACTTAAACTGGTACTCATCCCTCACATTTTCATAAAACGTGACCCTTCATAAGCTGAACAAGTTTCCTGTAATCTGTGCCTTTATTATGCTAGTTTTCAAAGCAGATTGGTTTTTTTATCAGGATTGATTAAATATTCCATAATCCCTTCTAAATATCGACAAGAAAGAGTGTTATCCCACAAGCCTGTTGTACTCCACATTTAATGTGAAATCTATATGCGGTGCCAGGCAGTAGAATAACCAAATTGTTAATATCATTATAAAACATTTTAACTACATTAATGAAATTTGCACCAAAGCCTTTTAAACTGTCCTAAAGTTAAAAACAAATGTTGAATGGTGTCAAAACCTTTGTAGAGATCTAAAAATAATATAATAGCATTCAAATCATTGCATAATCCAGAACAAGTCTGCTTTTAGAGCTCATATATCTTTTATCCATAAGGCCATAAAAAGTTTCATTAATTATTTCAGACAGGCCTGTTTTTAATCTTTTGGCATTAACTAGGGACAGGGTTTTGTAATCTACATTTAATAAAGCAATTGGTCCTAATAAAGGCAATAAGACCTTGTTTCATGGTTGTGGACATTTCTTTAGTATTAACACCTACATTCACTTTCAGACAGTGAAAGTTCTTCTTTCAGAGGTTTCTGAAGTGATCTGAAACAGTGGTGAGAACTGTTACTATTGGAAATAGCATGCCAGTTCCCCTGTTCCCAGATTGAGAAGTGGTGTTTTCCACTTTACCGTAACAGGTAACATTGTTCTATTGTACTAAAAAATGTTCCACCTTTAACAATTGTTACTGTTAGGGTGATATTTAGATTATTTATTTATTTATTTATTTATTTCTTACTCGGGTTGTACTCATCACTTATGTTCCGTTTAATACTAAATAGCCTTACTCTCCAGTTCCTCCTTGAACACAACCTCCCAATGCTGTCTTGTTTTTGTTCAGGGAAAATATGAAAAGTACAGCAATAATAGGTGTTTTGATGTGCTAGAGTCACATAATTTACCAGGCAGAGTTAAATCAAATAGCCATTTTCACTTAGTGTAAATAGACACTGACAAAAAAAGGTGGTGTGGTGGATTCAGCTCTATTGCTGTCAGAATTAGTGATTCTTTATGATTTATATAGATGACTATAAAAAGAATGTACATATTTTGATACAACCTCATTTCCAAAAAAAGTTGGGACGCTGAGCAAAATGTAAATTGATGTGGAGTATTGGGCTGGTGACAGAAAGCCAAACAGGACTCACGCTGTGTTTATATGCTAGATCTGGTAACTCAGTGGTGTACACACAGTGGCAGTGTATATTATACAGTGGCAGTAAATACTATACAGCTTTTGATGCCTTTGAGAAATAATAAAGTATTACATTTTCATAATTTTACAACTTTCAATATCATTTTCCAAGCTGTTTAAAATTAAATTAGTCCTCTAGTTTTTTTAATTATCTTGTCCCAACATGGTGATTATTGCCTTTATAGCATCATCAGCATCAGTATGTTAATTCAGAAGCATGAATTAAATGGCAAATTTAATGTAAAAGAATTTGTTTCTTCTGGTTTTGGTTTAGAATTTTGGCTGAGTGTGCCCTGAAATTTGGATTTTCATTTGAATGCATTACTAACATTAGTATATACCATAAAGCATCCTTCTGCCTTTTTCTATGTGCTTTCTATCACACCATTGCAAAAACGACATTCAGGTATTGACACAGGATGCTAGAGATACTGTGGGAAAAATGATGCTGACCATTTTCATGTTTTTTGGGGATACTGGGCTCTTGCTCCCATCTGGAAGGAGATACATAAAAACCTAGAAGCTATTTTTGGAAAGGATATTCCTTTCAAATGTGATTCTATGTATTTGGGTAACATTCCTTTTGGATGTGTAACAGCAAGGATAAGAAATTGGCTCTCATACTTTTAGTAGCTTGTAAAAAGGCTATCACTAGAAAATGGTTAAATCCAGACCCACCTACTGTGAATGAATGGAAGGATATAATACATGATATTTACATAATGGAAAAGCTCTCTGCCTTTATTAATATGCAAAAGGAACTGTTTAACCAGATATGGGCAAAATGGATTGAGTATGTAAAACCTATAAGGCCAAATTTTTCTTTTCTGCTGAACTGAACAATATGTGAAGGTGTAATGTGCAATCTATGTTTGTTTAGAGTGTAAGATCCCTTATTATGTTCTGCTGTAAATAGTTTTGTTTTAAAGGAACATATTTCCAAAATACTACAAAAGCTGTGTCATCATGTATGATGGACACATCGCTCTGGGTTTTAATCAGCTCACACGTGGCATAGAGCACTGGTATATGGCTCCAGGTGTGCGAAAAGTCAATCTCCTGGAGAAAATAGTTTGACGAAAATTCTGGATACACACACACGTACACACACACTGTTTCTCTGATGTATCTCTACTGAGAACTTTTTAACACAGCTTCATATGTAAACATAATATTTTATTGCACAATTAGCATTTCCCATTGCTCTGGATTACCAGTGGTTGTAAAACTAGTGTTTTACTGTCTTGTAAAGAAACACTGAGTCCAGCAGGCCTATCTTATCTTTAAGGAAGTTTTTGCCATGTCTGGGCCTGCATCTAGGACATTCTTGAACCTATCCAAAACAACCAGTGAACATACCAAGTCTTCTGAGTTTTTATGTGCAATTCTGATCATAGTAAAATAGTGGTAAAAACATCTTACATGGATGTACAAACCCAATTCCAAAAACGCTGGCACAGTATGTGAAAGACTAATAAAAAACAGAAAGCAGTGATTAGTACATTCTGTTTGACCTGTGTTACAAAACGGTACAAAAACACAACATTCTTTGTTTTACCTTACAAACTTAATTGTTTTTGAGCTTTCTTGAGCTGCAACTGGTATGTAATTAGTGCTTATAGTGCTCTATAAATAATATTTATTATTATAATGATTATTATTGTTGTTGTCTTAGAGATAGGCCGGGTCAATGTAGCACCCACACTTTCCTATTACAAAGCCAGAGTTTTAACACATGCAGAATGTGGCTTGGTATTGTCATGCTGAATTAAGTATGGACACTGCTGAAAAAGATGGCGTCTAAAAGGCAGCATATGCTGCTCCAAAATGTGTTCAGTGTTAATGGTGCTTTCACAGATGTGCAAGATACCCACTAATACTAATACATGACAAAGGCTGGCTTTTGACCTTTACGCTAGTAACAATCTGGATAGTCCTTTACTTTTTTGGGCCAGAGACCACAATGTCCATTTTTTCCATAAACATCTGAAAGGTTGACTCATCAGGCCGCAATACATGTTTTCACTGTACATCAGTTCATTTCATTGTCCTTTACACACAAAGATTTTTCCAGATTCTCTGAATCTTTTAATGATATTATGCACTATATTATGCCTAAGGAATGTTAATTTTAAACTGTTGAATTTCTTTTTTGCACTTTTTGCTTAAAGCAGAGCCTCAACCCATCCTTTTTCATAAAGCACTCGGCTCCATTTATGTACAAGCATGATTACATTATCTATTTAGGATGTTTTACAATGTTTCTAATGTTAAACAGACCCTGTCCCAACTTTTTGGAACATGCTGCAGACATCAGTTTCAGAATGAACAAAAAAAAACAATGAAGTTGATAAGATAAAACATTAAATATTTTGTCTTTTCATTCTAATACAGGTCAAAGTGGATTTACATATTACTGCTTTCTGTTTTTATGTCACAGTTTCCCCCCGTGCCTTTTGTTTCAGTCCTTGGTTGTCTACATTGTTACATGTTGTGGTTGAGTGTCTGCCCTGTGTTTGGTTTGCTCAGTGTTTTTTCTTGGTTTAAAGGCCTTGTAGTTTGTCTTTTGTTATCATTCTCAGTGTTTGTTCTAGTTTGTTTTTTGTTTATTAAAGTTTGCTTCCACTTACATCCATCCTCACTACTCTCCATGCATGACAATTTATTTGCATTTTTACCTACTGTCTCAATTTTTTTTGGAATTGGGTTTAGAATTAAAAAATACATTTTAGATATAAAATGATAGTTCTGAGATAAAACTTTATCTCAGAACTATCATAAAGCAATATCTCAGGCAGCAGGCAGTGTGTAAGTTGTCATTATTTACCATGTAATAACTTTCTGTGGTTTAGATTTTAGAGGCATTAAATGCTTTGGATATCTGATTCCTATCATTAGGGGTGGGAATCTCTTGGCACCTCACGATTCGATTCGATTACGATTCAGAGGGCTGCGATGCGATTATAAAACGATTATCGATGCATCTCGATGCATCTTTCTTCTCTATGTAGCATTTATATTTTCTCACTGTGTGAGCTCAAGTTTCAAGTTCAAGTTTCAAGTTTATTTGTCACTTGCATAACATGTCAGGACATTTATGCATTGAAATGCTTGTGGTGAGGCTCACCTAATCACTCTACAGAAAGGAAATAAGTAAAAATAAAAATACAAGAAAAACCAACTGAAATATATTAAATATACACAAAATATATACAGAATATAGAGACAGTATACATTTTAAAGTGACTAAGTGACTCAGTACTTTTAAAGCAAAGTATTTGTAATGATTCCTAATGAATTTACTTCCAATATCTATTATTAATAAATCAAATGGAAGTGATGTGGCAAGTGAACTAGAAGGCTCTCATTCAGTGCTCTTGTTTGGAGCGCGAGAAGCTGCTTAAAATGCGATAAAATGCGCTGTTAGGGTGAAATAAGATCCAGTGTCAGTGGATGTCCACGCAGCACATGTTACAGCTATTCTACCCGTTTTCTTTAGTGATTTTATAACTTCGGTTTTGGTCTCGTTGTAGAGACGGGGGGTCGCTGTGTCAGTAAAATGTCTTTGAGACGGGTCGTGTGCAACATAGCGCGAAAGCCCTGTTTCGCAACGACTGAGAACTGCTGGTCACATAGCAGCGATGCGTTATTCGCATTTATAAGCAGCACAGTTGGTTTCCTGGTACGTTAAATCTGCAACGAGAGACTGTGAAACACTAAAAAGTGGCGAAGATGAAGTCGCTTCTCTTTCGAATTCTCCCGTTCCACCTTAAATGGTGCCGCATTTACATTCGGCGCCTCAGTCAGAATTTAAGGTGGAACGGGTAAATTCGAACAAGAAGTTGGAGAATAAGAAGCGACTTCAGCCTCGTAAAACAGTCGAACGCTGAGAGACATTTAACTGATCAACTTCTGAGGAAAGGTTTTCTGGCGGAGATGGGAGGAAAGCGGCTATAGGCGAAGCTTAAAGCAGAGCGAAGTAAATCTGCGTTTTCGTTTATAGTGTTTAGTCTATACTAGGACATCATCACATACTGAGACATACTGGACATTACATTTTGCGGCTCCCAAGGTGGTTTGAATTTGTTGAAAGGACAAAATGGCTCTTCTTATCATTAGTGTTGTGACTCCTGATCTAACCTGGCTTTAGTGCAGAGGGAGCCGGTCGGATTTCTCGCTCATCCAGTTGTGTTTTTGTTATGTGCCGTCACAGACTGTCCGGGCGCTGCACTTACCCACTTCCAAGTTCCGCCTTTTGCGTTCCGTCAACATTACGTTATAAATTAAATATTTAGAAAATCGATTTTTGACATTTGTGAATCGATTCAGAATCGTTCACGTCCGCATCGCGATGCATCTAAGAATCGATTTTTTCCCGCACCCCTACCTATCATTACTATTATACACAATTCTGACTGATAATTTTCTCTAGAATGAAGCATTTCATCTCAAACTACTCTGAAAAACTTTATTTAAATCATAACAATTTAATCCTATATTCTATTCTAATTCTATATGTATAATTTAACTATATGTATATGGAAAGTTGGTCAAATTGCTGTTTAAAACATTTTTGGGCCCTATGTTGAGAGACAACAGCAAAAGACTCCAGATAAAAATGGCACATTTACAGTCAATTCTGGACCTTTAAATAACTCTCTTGTGCTTTGACACAAGGCCAGCCAAAAAACAACGGAGCTACCAGTTTATCCTTTAATGTCTGGTGTTCTAAAATAGAATGACTGTTTTTAAATGTGTGTAATTTCTACACCTTAGTATGCATATCAGTGTTGATATGCATATTCACAAAGCTGATGGTCTACACTTTCAACATGGTGGAGAACGGAGACAGCATACATACACATGCACACATTCAAGAACATTCAATACATCAACAGTCAAGAAGGTCTTTGTCTTGTCAGAATTATTACATAATCCCTGGATCGCAAGTGTTAAAGCTTTATTAGGATTGGAGGAGACAGCAATTATTTTCCACAGAGTTTAACTTTAACAAGAACATGTTTGTTAAAGCTAACAACTCTTGCTAACAAGAGCAGTGGTGAGTAATGCTTGGTTATTTGAGCTGTGGCTGTCATCAGTTGGGAGCTGTTGAGATAAGCTAGATAGCTAATCAGCCAATCTGCCTACTTTGGGCTTGCTTAATAGTTGCACACACTGAACAAGAAAGCAGCTAAAATTGCATGATTGTCACAGCTCTAGTCATCCCAAGTTCAAGTGACCAAGCCATAGACTACAGATTTCAGTGCAATTGAACAAGATAATGCAGTGTAGTGCAATTAAGACAATGCAGTAGAATCCTCTAAATTATGATACATTAAATAAGAGTAGGGCTGAGTAATGTCACATTTCAAAAATACTGACCACCCCTACACAACAGTACAAAGTGAGGCTCAAGGCCCAACACTTAAACAGAAATACACAGTCTATGTAAAAATATGCAAAAGTTTGAGCACCCCTGGCCAAATGACATTTTGTTTATTTTTTAATTGAAAATAAGTGAACACATCCTCTATAGAGAACACACTTTTGGACTAATGCACAATTACTGTTTATTTGCTGCGTTTAACATATTTAACATAAAATGTGGCCCATGCAGATCTTTTGGCAAATTTTATGCTTTCTTTTTTTCAATGTTTTTTCCAATGTTAAAGTCAGCAAACAAAATTGTGTGCTAAGAATTGCAGATAAATGCCATATTTGCATTTGTTCCCTGTACATGATGTAACCTATTTTCACTTAGAATCTCAACAAAACGTGATTTGACTGAAGATTTTCAAACATTTGCACCATATGATAGTACAGAGTGACTATTATACTATAAAAAAGTATCCAATTTTTTTTTTTTACAGTGATCAACTGGGGTGTTCAAACTTTTGTAAATGACTGTATATACATTATGTTATATAAACACTGCTATCTGCCCTTTATATTTACATGTGTGTGTTTGTTTAGTCTAGACCCTGGACTGTTTCCTAGCCTGCCGGATATGTGGGGGAGGAGCAATTTAAACAGTAGTCAATGTCAGTCCATTGCTTTCCATTTTAAATTTGTCCAGAGTTGTAAGTAAACATTGACTGAGAGACAAGATACTCATTGTCTTGCTTTAATGATGTGCTCCTATGAGGAGTATGCCATCACACCCATATCCTGTCTAGACTGGACTGGTTTCCACAGAGGCTGCTGCTGCAAAGCACGAGTTTCATTTCATACACAAACATATGAACACATTTATGCTCGACGTGGTTATCTTTCAGAGCCAGTTTGTAAACACTGTTGCCTGTTGGTGTTCATCAAACATAATAAAGAGTTATTTTTCACTCTCACAGACTAGAGAGAGATGCACTGTCCAGCTAGCATGGAAGCTTTTATTTGTTAAATGTTACTGTTATTTGCCAACACCAACCTTGGAGAGAACACAAGTTTGCCTGATTGCTGTTCCCACAGTTTACTCTCATGTTGTTTTTTGTCATGACCAGATGGATAGGTCCACTTCATACTCTCATCAAAACCAAAAGCAGCTGTGAGATGAGGGCCCTGCGCAATGTGTGCTGTGAGTGTATAGGGCCGACCAGTTGTGTTCACAGTGGTTTGATAGAAAAGCAGATGTCAGAATTGTTCACAGTGTTTGTGATATGAACTAGATATCTGAAGCCTCTAAAAGCTCTCTCACAGAAAGTCATTGCATGAAAGGGTTATGAATATGCTGCCTGATGTCTGAGAGATTGTTCTAAGTTTGTTTTAAGAGGCATATTTTAAAAGACACATAGAGGATAGGAGGTACATGTAGGGTGTCAAAATGTCAAAACATGTAGGGAGGCAAAATGATCTCCAAAGAAAACTTAAATGTTTTCATATTTACCATTATTTTACTATTATCAATATTACATATAAGTCAATTAGGAGATACATATAGGTCCACCGGTCATTTGGATAGTAAATAAAATGGCTGTATTACAGTCTCTCTATGATGAATCATTTCATATTAAACCATTCTGAATGACTTTGTCTACATCTCAACAACTGAATTATGCAGACATTTTGGAATCCCACTTCAAGTACAATTTTGGTAAATTTATAAATTTATGTATGCTCAAGTATATTTGTGAGGGAAGTAATCTACATTCATTTTGTTGGTTCAGCTCCTGGATTGTTTTACTGTTTCTCACACCTCTAACTTTGAAGTTTTAGCATTTTATTTTAGAACAAAAAGGGAGGAATAGGGCCTAACGTACTTCAGCCCCTATGCTGATAGATGCTGGATGTTGCTCTGCAGTTCTATAGGGGAACTTTGTGGTGGAGCTTTTTGACCTTATACGTTTTTATTTCCGCTCAAGTTGCTTTTTGCTAGCCTACTTTGACTTCGACTTGAGTCATTATTTCACTGAAGCAACAGCACTTTTAATTGAGTATGGGTTTACTACGGGCTTAGAGCATGTGTCAGGCTCCAGTCCTGGAAAAAAAAAAAACACTGCAGACTTAAGCACACTACCTCATTAAACACACCTGATTCATCTCATCAGCTAATTAGCAAGGCCTTCATGAACACTTTAAATTCAGAGCATTAGAGGAGGTAAACGTTAATTTGACAGGCATGACTTGAATATGGGTCTACATGTGAACGGGTTTATCTGGTTAATAACATCATCTGATCAGAGATTTGCTTTCTACATGGTCCTTTGCCCTCAGATGGAGAGGATAATGGAAAAGGCACCTGCTGCAAGGCCTAACTTATCCTAAAGCAGGCCACCTGATTGAGCCACTCTACACAGCACACCCCCGGGCCACCAACTTCACAGTTCAGCAAGACAAAAAGAAAGGCATGCAGTAGTATGAAGCAATGGGTGGTGAGTACTTTCTTCCAGTAAGTAAGAAGTAAAGTGATCCTATTACAATTTGAGAGATGTAATTAGTCATTTGTGATGGAGTACTTTTGTAAGTAACTACCTCAACACTAGTATTTGATGATATTTAAGATTGCATAAGAAAAAAAAAAATTAGTAGTTTATGTTGAAAGTGTGTCCTACAAACCTGTCATGGACTACTCTGAATCTGTTTTGTTCTGTTTTCTTCTCTTAAAATTACACCAAAAGGAAGCTGGCATAATGTATTTATTCCAGCGCTGCAAAAGGGACACTGCTGTTTTATGGAATAGAGTGCGATCATAGATATTATTCTTGTTATCTATCAAACACAACCCAAACTAAAACATCATGTGCTTGTGAGCCACTTATACTGTTAAAAATACATACTGGGCAACATGACAATATATCATTATTGTGACAAATTAAGTCACTATACAATACAATATGCTTTTCTGAATATATCATGTATATCTTCATTACTTGTAGAACACTGACCAACTTCCTGTTTCATTATACAGAGAGCAAAATTAGTTCTAGTTTAACTGGATTTAGTGCAACACAGTATGTGAAATATTGAATAAAAATCACTGTATTCATAGTTGTTGATAGTATTTTTTAAATGTGGCACTACTGGTTCTTTTTTCTGTGTTCCAACTGACCAGATGTCTGAAACCAAAATATTGTTACATTGTTTATTGCAAAAATTTCTCAAAGTATCATGGTATTATATGTTAATGTCATGCACACAGGCTTAAAAGAAGTTTTGACCAGCTCGATGTTTAGGTCTCAAATGCAAAATCAACATTATACTGATGAAGATATGATGACAGTATTAGATAATACACTCACACCCTCACAAGACACATCCTTCATTATGTTTGGACTGAGTTCTCTTTCAGTACTCTCAAACATCACATTCATCCACTCATGAAGTTCCGGAGCACAACGAAATGTTCTTCTGCACATTGCATGCACTTATACTAGAGAGGGGTCTCCAAATCCCTAAATTTTACACAGTCCACACACACACACACACACACACACACACACACACACACATTATCTAAGCCGCTTATCCTTATGGGTCACAGGGTGTGCTGGAGCCTATCCTATTGGTCATCGGGCGGAAGGCAGGAAACACCCTGGACAGGTCGCCAGTCCATGGCGCAGACACACAGACGTATACAATCACACACACACACCTAGGGTCAATTTAGCATGTCCAATGGCCTGACATTATGTCTTTGGACTGCGGGAGGAAATCAGAGCACCTGGAGGAAACACACAGAAAGGACCCTGGTCACCTGTGAGGTGACAGCGCTACCCACTGCACCTTACAAAGTCCAGCTTTAACATTTTGGCATATATTGTTTTTTGGTGATAGGAACCAGGAGTCACAATGTCTACAACGCAAATACAGCCATTTTATTCAGTATCCAAATTGACCAGTGAATCTGCATTGGTCTTCTGGCACTCTGAATTAAAAACCCTTTATTATAACATAGCTTTGGACTAAAACAATCTCTCATCATCATCAGGGAAAGTCACAATGCAAGCCCTACACAGGTGCTCTAAAGACCCTCAGTTAATTGGTCGCATGACTTTGGACGACTTAGTGGGTCATAAATCTCAAAACAAAACAATAGCCCACAAGAAATAAATAAATACGAACCATTAAAAACAAACAAACAAACCAAAAACACTAGATCTAAGACAACAGCCACAGATATTGAATTTATGAATGAATAAAAAACAAAAACTAGTGTCTGAGAAAGCAAAGTTGAGTGTTGGAGCTGCAGAAACTGCAGTTTTGTAGAATTTTGGCTAAGGAAGGGAAAGGCCTGTGATTCGTCTAACTTTCTTTTTCTCTTCTCTAATTCACTCAGCGACTGTCCGTCATCTACACTGACCTTCCGTACTGCAATGCAGATTCTGACACACACGTTTCTGTCTCGCACAGTTTTCTGTGCAGCCATGACTTTCATGAACACATCCAGCCCGAGTGCTGAATGGGCGGCGGTGTGGTTTATCCAATAGGATACGAGCACTGAGAGATCTACGCACTAGTTCTCACTGTCTGCTCAGGTGCAGGTCACAGCGGTATGAGATAATACAATGTTGGCGACGAACAGGTAAGCATTAAAGTTGCGGTCACTTCCTGTGCTTTTAGCTGAGTGTGTTGGGACGCAGTTGGACCCTCTGCAGCCCCCTCCTGTAGATGGCGAATTGTTTACAAAGTTGACAATATGGAGTGGAGGACCACTGTCCTTTTTCTAAAAACACAGGTTACTCCGCGATTCTCTCCACATGGCGTTGAGCACCGGCGTTTGGCCTTTACTCTCAGTCGAGCCAACAAGGGCTCTTGTAGACGAGGAGCTAAAAGTGATCGTGAGGAATCTCAGCCCCAGACAGGAGGTGACCCTTCACTGTGTGCATCAGTCAGAGGACAAGGACGTCTGGGAGGCCTTTGGACACTATATCAGTGACGAGCATGGCACGATAACAGGTGAATATTCAGCTTTAGAGTGTGCACTTCTCTGCATTAAAACCCACACACACACAGACACACTCAGAAACAACACTGAGTGAAGTCTTAAATGGACAAAAAGAAAAATTTGACCATGGTTACATCTGTTGTAAACACATTTAGTTGAAAGACATTTTCCAGTTTAAAGAGTACAAAAAAATTCCTTCTATCTTAAAGGTGGGAGAATCTTTTGGAAAAACTACAACTACAAAATGCATTATAGACCACTTTGAAGAATTTCTTTCCCATGATTTACAGTGTTGGGAGTTACACATACAAGAATTAATACCACCTGTATTAGAGAAATGTTTTACATTATACGTCAGCAGCTTTTCTTTTTAAAATCATTATATCCAAAAAGTAACAATTGTACAATTTGTAACAAAATGGATGTACAGTATTTTGGAATGAAACTCTACACTACGAAGCTAAATATCTTATTGCAGTCATAAAACTGTATTAACTGTCTTTAAAGCACCATTATAGTGGATGGAGTGGATTAGTCAATTGACAGAAATGGCTTGTCAGATGATGGTTACAAGGGTCAGATACCTGTTGGCAAAATAGCTGGCTGTCTAAACATGATACCTCAGTTGGGCTTCTTTTCACTGCCTGAAAGGGAGAAACTTGTCTCTGGCATCCTAATTGTGCTGAATAAAGATAGATTTGCTATTTTATTAATAAGCCGAGGTAAGAGTTACTCTAATGCTAGCTTGGTTGTATTTATTAGCCTATAGCTCGGGGGCTAAGTTAGCAGTCAGGATTGCTTGACACCACAGGGATTCCCGATGGCTGTAGGATAGAATGCTGCGCTGTGTAGCTATAGCATATGTGCAAAACGTTCAGTAATGTGTGGTTTAAGCACTGTTTGATGTGCCTGTGACAGTGGATGATTGCTTGTAGAGACTGCTGGTTGTTTAATATGACATTCATGAATATGATATTCAGTTGTGGTGTGTTTCTGTGTGTGTTTGTGCAGTGGCAAAGAATGCGAGCATGGGAGGAACTTACAAAGGTGTGGAGTCCATGGGGCTGATGTGGAGTATGCGGCCAGTGCCAGGAAGCCGACCAGGGCTGAGGTGACTTATGCTTTATCTATTTTTGTGTATAGCTAGAGATTATAGTGATATGATAAAAATTTCATATTGATTGAACCTTTAGAATCTGCACTTTCAACAGAATATCTCTGCATGTTTCAGTGAACTAATAAAAATATTAAAAAATATAAAATTACATGCTTTTGTCATTGCTAGCAATAACTAAGACTTTGAAGGGTTAACCTTGTGCTTCTCTCTGTCTCTCTCTCTCTTTGTCATCATTTTATTTATGTAATTTAGGTTGCGAAAGAAAGATGTCCTCTCACCGATGTTCTTCCACATTTCTGTATATGATGGACACATTACTCAGGGTTTTAGCCAGCTCACAGCATTAGTGACTCGTGTCATAGAGCGCTGGTATATGGCTCCAGGTGTGCAAAGAGTCAGTCTGCAGGAGAAAGGAGTTCAAGGAACTTTGTTCATCCCTCCAGGTACACACACACACACACACACACACACACACTGTTTCTGTAATGTGTCTGTAATGGGAAGTTATTAACACAGCTTTATGTGGAATCAACATATTTTATTGCATAATTAGCATTTCCCGTTTGCTCTGGTTTACCAGTGGTTGTAAAACTAATGGTTTACTATCTCATAGTAAAATACTTGGGTCACTCTGGTGTATCTTATCTTAGCAGTCCTTGGCATGTCTGTACCTGTTTCCAGAATGTTGTTGATCTGTTCAACAATTTTGTCTTCGTGACTGAAGATATTTTGGCTTATGTCTTATGCCTCTTATTTTTCAACCTCATCATGGCTTGCTTTACTGGCATTCCACTGATTCAACATTTCTGCATAATTCAGTTGTTAAGATCCAAGCAAAGTCATTCACAGTGGTTTGATATGAAATGGGACATTATAGAGAGATTTACTGACTGTACATCTGATTTCAATTTGGAAGATTTAAATGCTTCAGATGTCTGGTTCCTGTCACCTTTCGTATGAACAGTTCTGCCTGGTAATTTTCTCCAGAACGGTGCACTCTGAATAACTTTATTTATATCTTAACAATTTCATTTTGCATACATTTCAGTGAAAAACCAGTTGAATAGCAGAAGAGTCCAGATGCAAATTCACATGTAGAATCACCTCTAGATCTTTTAATTAGCTCTGTTTAGCCATCCAAGAAACAACTGAGCAGCCAGTTTGTCAAATCATGTTTGGTCCCCAAAAATGTTTTTAAAGGGCTGTAATATTTACACCTTTTGCTCAGTATTGATGTGCATATTCCCAAATCAAAGCTGATAGTCTGCACTCCCAACATGGTGAAGAGTGGAGCAAATATGGAGCCACTATCCACTTAATGTCATGTCACTTGTTATGTCCAAAGTCTTACAGAATACATTAGATGCCATACAATCACATGCACACCTTCAGGGACGTTCATGAGTCAATAAAGTCATCCCTAGGCCTGTCACAGTTATTGCATAACCACAGGATCGCAGTTATAAAAATAGATTGCAATTGCATATGGATATGAGGAGCGAAATTTATTCACAGTTGTTAAGTTGTTAGCCTTCACAGTCGTATGTTTGGTGGCAACAAATAGAATGTGAATTGGGTTAGTTTTCACCACAAATACATGTAAATAGAAAAAAGCAGAAAACATATGTATTTAGACAAGACAAGGGTTTTATGAAAACAACAAGCATTCTGCCTTGTGTTATGACACCGTTAGAGGGCAGGAATGTGTAATGTTTGTTTATTTGAGCTTTAGCGCTGCCGATCATCAGTTGGGAGCTACTGACAGATAGGAATCAATATAGCTAATCAGCCAATTTGCCCAATTTAGACTTGCTTACTGGTTGCACACACTGAACAAGAAAGACAGTTAAACAGGCAATCACAATTATTTACAAGGCATTGATCGGCAGGCCTTGACAAGGAAGGCCTTGTCATCCCATCTTGATGGCATTCCATCAGGGCCAGTGTTCACAGGACAGCAGAGTTCAAGTGACCAAGCCACAGACTACACAATTAAAAAGACAAAGCAGTGCAATTCTCTAAATTAGGGTACAAAAAATACAGTAGGGCTGAGTGATATTACATTTTATATCACATTTAAACAATACTGCCCACCTCTAAAAAACAGTACATAAATACACAGGACAAAAGAGTATGAAATATATAGTCAAAAGCTTGGGCAGCCCTGGTCAAATGAAATGTGTTGTTGATTTTTTAAAATGGAAATAAGTACACGTTCCCTGTGGAGAACCCATATCTGCACATTTTAATGCACAATTACTGAAAGAAAATGGCCTTTGCAGAAGTTATGGCACATTTTATATTTATTTTTTCCAATACTTTCCAATAGAAATAAAAATTGTGCACTTAATTATAACATATTTACATTTCTGTCCTGCAGAGGATGTAGTAGCTTATTTTCTCTTAGAAAATCAATAAAATGTGATCTGACTGGGGTATTCAGACTTTGCATACAACTGTATGTACACTATGTTTACATTTGTGTGTGGTTGGTTCAGGTCCTGGACCATTTCCTGGCCTGCTGGACATGTGGGGTGGAGGTAGAGGTCTGGTGGAGTACAGAGCTGCCCTCCTGGCATCACATGGCTTCGTTTCCTTGGCTCTGGAGTATCTGTCCTCAGACGAACTAAATATATCCACGATTGATGTCAGCTACTTTGAGGTAATTTACACCACAAACCTTCTTCAACATTCAAACACATGCACTGTCAGCTTACAAAGCTGTGAGTGCACAGGAGTTGCTCTCTGTGGATTTGTATAGGGCAAGTGCAGAATAAGCTCACACTGAATACTGTTGGATTTTACTGAGAGAAATCTAGTTCTCCTGCACTAGGTTAGTTTGCACAGTTTTCATTTTCTCGCACATCCCTGGTGTACCATTTGTTAAGACAATCAAAACTTAAGATCTCTGCTAAAAACAGACTTTAAATTTAGTTTTAATGTGTACCTAAAACAAAAACAGAAATATTTAGTGGCGTATCAACCCATCTATTATTCATTTACACAACGAGCCCATGGGTTGCAGGAAATCAAGAGACGCATCTGTGTGTGTGAGCTGCTTTCCCCATCTCCCCATCGGATTGCTCCTAACACATACAGAGCGCTTTACATAGCTGCTGCCAGAGGAGAGTGAGTACAGATAGATCAGACATATGTTTTTGAAGTTTGTTTATAAATCTATGCTAAATAGTGATAAAAAGATATTGGCTTACAAATGAAATTTATCATAGACATAGGGCTGCTGGCATGAACTCAAGTAGCAACGTTACTGTGGTCTGGTATAAAAATCATATAATAAATGCCATTGACAACCTAACTGCTAACTGTGTCCCCCTCACTTTTAAAAGGGCTGCTATGCCACCGATATGTTGATGGCTGTGAACATCTGTTTTTGCCAAATGATCATTTTTTTGTTGGCCTGATCATAACCCTGTTGATCTCTGCGATTTTTTGTGTGTTTTGCATGTGTATGTGGGTGCATTGTAGACTGCATATCAGATCCTACAGAGCCATGCAATGGTGCAGAGGGACAGACTGGCTCTGTTTGGCCTTTCATTTGGGTCTGCTATAGCACTGTCCATGGCTGCATACTCCAAAATCATTAAGGTGAGTTGCTGTTACACACACACACACACACACACAAACACATACTCACACTCACTCACACTCACATACTAGGAGTCGACAGATTAACGGTCGGGCCAGTGATCAGAGCCGATATTCAGCGTTTTTCTGATTATTGGAATCGGCATATGAACAATAAAAAACCTTTTGTTATTTATGCACATGTCTGAGGCAACCACGACCAACAAAACTTGTGGTCTTGTCCTGTGTCAAGTAAATCCAATCAAACATGCTTCTCGGTGAGAGACACTGGAGGAAATGAAGAAGCATCTGCTTCACTGCCACAGCGAGAGGAAAGGTAAAAACACGTCACGGTTGAACATCATAGTTGGCAAAAAAAACTCAGTGCAGGTCATACATTTTCACTCAATCTAGCCAGACAAACGTGACTTGTGTGTCACATTAGTTTGGCAAGAGTGAGGTTTCTGTGTGTGGCAGTAAAGGTGCTGTTCTGTAGGAGACGAACTATGCAGACAAACCTCCAGCAAGTGATAAATTATTTGTAAAATCTTAACATATCATTTTACGTTTAATTAATAGGTTATACATAATTTCTGATCATTTTCATTTCTATTTTCACTCATTTAAAGTACAGACAGCTGCAGCTCACTGCTTCCAAAGGTTCCACCGTTCTGCTTAGACTGTACATGCTGTTTCTATCAGATCATGACAGCGCAGAATACACCTGATAAATGCAACACATCCAGCTACCGCTTGTTATTGCATGAAAAACATTTTTAGTTGAACAACAAAATGAAATAAACACATTAACATTCATCAACCTCATTGTTATTGCTTTTTACAAAGTAGTGACAGTTTTTATTGCATGATTGCTAAGGTGCTTATTGTATTATTTTTGCTTTCAATATATTTATCGGCCCCAAATATTGGTTAGCGGTATCCTTGGTTACTAATAATTGGTATTGGCCCTGAAAAAAACATATCAGTCGACACTTAATACATACACGTGCCAGGGCTACATGATAACAGCTAAAGTGCTAATCACAATTATTTTCCTCTATAATGAAATCACAGTTGTGACAATTATTCAGCCAATTTGGGAACAAAATAGTTTCAATGCACTTTTTTATTTAAAATCAACAGAAAACATTCAGTTTTTTCACAATGTATTATAAGCCTACAGTGCTTCAAATGTATAAATCTCTGAATCTAATGAAGGCTGGTAATTGTTCTCCTTAACTGAGTTTATCTATTAACCCCTTAACAGGCCATGAGCCCACCGTCGGGCCCAGAGTTTTATTACACACTTTTTTAACCTAAGAATAGTTTGCATTTTAAGGGGTTAAATGCTAAAGAAAACAAATTAGACTCAATTTTGTTCATTTTGTTTGTTTTTGTGTTACTGGGTAATCGTAGCCCCGATGTTGTGTTTGCATCAGTGGCAGTCACGCCACTCCTGTCCAAACGACTGTGCTTGAAGCCGTTCAAGAGATAAGCAAGTAAGCATTCAGGCACTTACCTTTTTTAATCATCATACTGCAAAAGAAAAATGATATCTTGGCAAGTGCAAATATCTTAAATTGCGAAGTTATGTATAAATGGAGGGATAATTATGATTTGTGATTATATGAATAAAAGATGGTGCCATTGTACAGTAATACTTTAATTCTGTAATTCTTTTCAGAAAGATTGATAAAGTGAGGATAGAGGACAATCAGATCATCTGGAGAGACATAATGCTGCCCATCCCAGCAGATCCAAGCATGAAAGTACATGTAAGTTAGATAATTATAATGCGTTTTTATTTATTTGAAGGCTAGCATGGCTTGCTTTATTGCCTCCAAGCATTTGGTTTCACATGTTTGTCATTCTGAATGTGTACTGGTTTGTATATATGTGTATGCGTGTGCTTATAATGAGTTACTTTAACACCCAGGTTGGTCAAATAAAGTGTCCAGTGCTCTTGGTTAATGGTGGTGACGATCAGAACTGGCCTGCTGTTGAGTCTGCTGAAGATGTGAGTGTTTTACGCCACGTGTAGGTTCATCACATCACAAAACCACTTCTGGTTCATCACAGACCTGCATACCACAAGTCATTCTCAGTGGTCTTATGTGAAACGCTCTATTTTAGAGAAAGTCAGAATTGTTCACAGCTATATTGATGGGAACCAGATGTCTGAAGAGTTTAGTGACACCAAAAATACCTCACAGAAAGTCATTGCATGGAATGGTTATGAATATGCTGTCTGATGGCTGAAAAGTTGTTTTATGATAGTTCTAAGATGAGACTTTAGCCTAAAACATATTTTAAAAACACATACAAGGTGTAGAGGTACATGCAGGGTGTTGTAAGACAGTATTTTTTTTTAATATTTACCATTATTTTACCATTATCAGCATTACATATAAAACTGTTAACTGTTACCACCACAGTAAAGAAATCCAAAACAGTAAGTTTTTTTATAATTAACCATTTCACCTCAAACCACTCTCACAAATTGAATTATGCAGAAATTTTGGAATCCCCCTTTAATCCCCCTCGAATTTTGGTCAATTTATTTACTTTTGTATAGACTCAAGTATATTTGTAAGGAAAGTGGTCTCAATTTTCCTCAGTTAAATTGTCATCATTTACACTTAGTTGCTAGAGAATGGTGGAGTATTTGACATACTTTTTTACTTTCTTTCGAGTTGCTAATTTTACTTACACGTTTGTCATTATATCATGAAGCAACAACACTTTTACTTCAGAATAGGTTTACTGTACATATCTTTGGTTAATAACATCATCTGATCAGAGTTTTTGCTTTTGCCACTCCTTTGCCCTCAGATGGTAAGGATAATGGAAAAGGCAGGGAATCTGCACCTGCTGCAAGTCCTTACCTATCCTGGAGCAGGTCACCTGATTGAGCCGCCCTACACACCACACCACCGGGCCAGCAACTTCGTACTTGGCAAAGACAAAGGTAAAAACTGATCAATTTCAATATTGTGGTATTTTCCAAATATATTACATTATCCCAGTCAGTGCACCCAGTAACGCGTCTTGTACAAGCATCTGAATGTAAGGTGGAACGAGTGTTTTAAGTTAGAAAGTAACTTTGACTATACTCATTCTTCTGACCAACAGACGCTGCTGGAATTTGGAGTATATTACAGTTGTATAGCTATCAGTACCAGCTTTTCCACGGTTTGTTTAGCACACCGGTTTTCATGATGAGCTAGTTTCATGATTGATAGTTTGATCTTATGCGTAATGTGATTGGTCTTATTCAGTTGTATGTAAGTGAAAGTAAGTTTACAGATCCTACAGAGAACACAGTTCTGCACATTTCACAATTACTGTTTATTTGCTATGGACTGGTGACCTGTCCAGGGTGTATCCTGCCTCCCAGTCACTTTTGGGACCATTTTGTTTGTTCCATTCCTTTACACACAATGTAAGTGTCATGTTTAAACTATGTAAAAAATGTAAAAAGCAGATGCAGTTTTGTTCCAACAGTTATGATATATTGCCCAGCTCTCTGTGCAGCTATGCAGGCCTTTTGATGTTGCCTGTACTGCTATGATGTGTGTAAACCCAAATCTTGCTTTCCAACTTGTGATTGTATTTGTATTCTTCATCACAGTGGTCATGCTCTGGGGTGGACAGCCCAAACCACATGCTGATGCACAAGAGGACTCATGGGAAAAAATTCTAGCCTTTCTACGACAACATCTTTACTTTGCTGCCCCACAGGCTAAACTGTAGTGATATGATCAGTAAGGATGTCTTTGGACACTATTTAAAAAATACTTCAGTATGTTCTTCAAAGGTTCATTTAGGTAGTTTTTTTGACCACTTGATGCTTTTTTTGCAACATTATGGCAAGATGTACACTCCTAGGCAAAAAAAAAGAAATGAGCCAAGCTCATGGCAACACATTAAGCTTTTAATGGTCTTTACAACAGATCATTAAACACATAGAAACAGTAAGTTAATATGGGCTAACTTTTCCTTTTGATTTCTTTAAATGTTAATGTTTTGTATGTAAATTTGCAGGCAGCCTTTTACACAAAGAATAGTCAGTAGTTTTCCACTCAACATTAATAGCTTCAAACAGTTAAAAAAACATTGTCAAGCTAGTTTGTTTAATGTGAGACCAGATATTCTTTATAGGGTTTAAATATGGACTCTGACCAGGTCAGAACCAACAGTAAAAATCAGATTTTGGGCTTGGCCCATTTTTTTTGACCAGGAGTGCACTTCCAGCTACTGTAGTCACTGCAGACACTTACCCACCTTACAGACTTCTGTGAGCTTTACCATTTGTTTCCACTAGTTCTCTTCATACCTAATGCCATATGTCAGCATTCATTTTAGCATTTCAGGAGTTTTGACTGGATGTTCAGTTTATTGGACTTTTAAGTGTTTGATGCATCTGTTCAGAAGGACAGCATTGGCAGTTTTTTTTGTAATTTTCATGTGATTATTTTTATTGTTTTCAGTTTTTGTAAGATAAATCTGAGAGAGTAAAGTAGATGAAGATTGCAGTCACTGCCTGCAGTCTGTCTTATTCATTCATACAAACAACTTCCCTCAACTGTTACTAGAAGGTAATTATGACTGAACAGTTAATTAGTATTTTCAACTTGAGCAGGTCAGACTCAGAGGTAAACACTACTGTATAAGAATTAGGATGGCAGTAACCACAAACCTTTGCAAGAATCGTGGAAGTGTTGAGATGATTAAAATGTATTTTATGATAAAGAATCAAGACCATAAAAAGTTGATTTTCACTTTGGTTGTGTTTTGTAATATGTTTCCTTACATGCTTGTGTTAGATGTTAAAATTTGTCAGTTAATTTGAACTATTCATTTATTAAACTATTATAGACTTTCTGATTTTTCAAAAACAGAAAATATGGGCAAATACAAATGGTCCACAATCTGAATACATAAACATACACACACGTTAATATCTCTTTTCCTGCTCCTATAAAGGTATAATAGGTGATACTAGGTTTTATTATGATGTTACACTGCTGTTCTGAAAACTTCTGGCCTTCATCCAGTCCAGCTTACCAGAACAAAACGACTATTTTGACTGGTTTGTAATGTCTGTGTTAACTTTGAGTTGGTGATTTGGTGCTGGAATTCTTGCCTGCCTCGTAGAGGGCTCTCATTGTGTCTACAGTCAGGAAACTTGGCTTTAATCCAAAAGGTCATTATTTTGACCCTGCTATTTCACAAATTGTACCCTTGAGTAGGACACTTTAGCTCATATTGCTCCAGAGTAGTGGATCCCAACCCTGGTCCTGGAGTGCCCCCTGCTCTGCACATTTTAGGGTTTCCCCCTGCTCCCAACAGGCCTGATCCAACTAATCAGCTCATAAACAAGCCCTTCATGAGTTGAGGTGGGTGTGATGGGTGCAGGGAAAACACAAAAAGCTCCAGGACTAGGGTTGGGAACCAGTGCTCAAGAGAGCCTGTCTGGAACTGTTGTCTGTAGGAAGCACAGAGGGCACCATATTACAGGAGTTCTCTTTAAGGCAGTCAGAGTCTGTTCTGGTTTTCCCTGGTGCACAATGTAAATTGTATTTAGTAATCACTGTATTTATTAATTACTAGAAATAATTGAAATAATAATTATTTTTAAAAAGATTCAGCAGAATCATCAAACTCCAATTACAGTGAGACATTTAGGAGTGATTACTGAATATGAACATCTTTCATGATGAGCTAGTTTCATGATTGATCTTATGTGTAATGTGATTGGTCTTATTCAGTTGTATGTAAGTGAAAGTAAGTTTACAGATCCTACAGAGAACACAGTTCTGCACATTTCACAATTACTGTTTATTTGCTATGGACTGGTGACCTGTCCAGGGTGTATCCTGCCTCCCGCCCGCTGGGATAGGCTCCATATTATTTAACCTTAGTTTTGCCAATATGTTAAACTCAGCATGTAACGCTCGCCCAAACATTAGCGATCTTAATTTTATGGTTCCATCTTTAGATGCAAAGACATAAACACAGCTAAAACACGGTTGAGCATGTAGACCTTCACAAATGATGCGTCATTAAAAACTACATCCCGTCATATTTATTATAGGAATAAATTGTATTCACTTATTCTGCTGCCAATTATTTTATTACTAACTTATGAATATCTAACTATCTGAATCTACACTCTTTAAATATTGCTGTCCTCATCATCAATGACCTGCGTTTTCTACACTGCGTTAATATTGAATCATCTAGGTGGTTGAGGCTCTTACCATTAAGCATTATTTTTTCCCTCCTTCTCCATTCTTTTCTGTTCTTTCCTCCTCTACTTTCTACTCTCCTCAGAAAGACATACACAGATCTTAAACTAACCAACATCAGTGTAAACAACATGAACAGTACATTTACAGTAGTACAGTTCTACAATCTGGTTTTAATGTAGTCCTACTGTCAT